AAGGATCCTGCTATTTAGGGTATTATATTAGGGTCCCCTATCGGGAACTCGCATATGAACCTTTGGCATAAACGCCGAACTCCAAAAGCAGAGCTTGGTTCCCAGAGGCCAAGCTCGACTAACCCAGGTGCGTCCTTGAGCATACTCTGCTTGGTATAGTGATTGCATGATTACGCTTCGTAGAGTTTGCCATGCTATTCCTGGGCCATCCCTCTATATGCATGCGAATGCCATCACATGCACGGAGTGCTTGTTCAGTTTTGATCAGCCTGGCCCAGGACTCCCAAGGCGAGGTCCCCTCGACTGGGACCCTGGACCCTGAAACTCATTATTATTACTAATATTATTATTACTATTACTATTATTATCATTACTATTACTATTTTGATTATGTTCCCCTTATGTTTCCCTAGTGGGGTTCAATCCTTCGGATTCCGACTGCAGCTTTTGAAGGGTTTGGGGAGCTTAGGACTCTGCTTGTGCTGGCCCCCACTGACCATTTCGGGCCAGAAGGGTTCAATATATTCAAGGTTCTGGGTTATGTTTTTCAGGGGCCTTTCAGGAGTGCATGCGGGTTTTGCAGGGTATGGTATGTTCCCACACAAGAGATTAGTGCCGCAGGGTTCAGTGTCGGGTCATGTGTTTGGGCGTTCATGCTTCCGTCCGTCCAAGACTTTCGGACGTATGACAGTCTGGGGAACCATGAGGATACATACATCTAGGGAATGCCAAAGTATGATTTTCATATCGCCCCCCCCCTGTAGGCCCTACGATGGAGAAGTGCACGATCTTATGGCCTACACTTTTTGCCGGAACTGTCTGGGACCTGGTATACTGTACCACAGACACCACCGGGACTCCTCATCATCTCCTGATGTTTGGAGAACAGAGAGACCACCCTCCTGCGCCCTAAAGCCGACGTCCCAAGTCATACCCCGCAACCTACGTATTGAACTATACGAATTTCGTGGGCACTCCTGGAAGTTTTGGAATCGGGGGTATGTAAGCGCTTACAGTGCGTTGCCAGGCCGTCGCGAAGTTTGTCGACAAACTCAGGGAGTTTGGTGTGGAGGCACACCCACCCTCCCGAAAGCCCCAAACCCTGACAGCCCTTAAGCCCAAAACTTACCGTTGCCAGACACTTGTCGTCGTCACCTTTCGGCCCTCCTCGCGCTTGCAATCATTACGTCATCAGCATCAGACCACAAACCCAAAGCCTGGCCTGGAACCCTCAACCATCGGAAACCTTTAAACCATGAAGTCTCCGAAAAGCCTTGAACTCAGAGCCTGCAGCGGCTTGCGAATCAGACATCCTTGGGAACGTCGACGGGGTAGGAGGAGGGTTTTGGAACAATCCTTCAAGCAAAAGCCTCGAGTGGTTTCGGGTTTAGGATGTTGCTGCCTCCAGCGCCAAATTTCGGATTCGGGTTTCGCAGTTTAAGATGTTGCCGCCGCCTCCGGAGAGCCGTTGCAGCTCCAGTTAGATCCTCTTGCGAGGTGCTGGCACGATGGCAGGCAGGCCTATCCTCGTACCTCTCCTCGTGCTGATTGAATGCTCTTTGCTCATGGCAGCACAGGGAGCAATTCAAGGCCGTGCACTGGTGCTGCGGTTCGCGAGTCGCGACAGCCGTGACAGCAACTTCAACGTTCCCAAGGTGCAACTGCACAAAGGGCTTCGGGCGGGCTCTGCCGGCTCTCAGCGACTTCGTGGCCCCGGGCAGTTCGCGGGTGCCGACCCGGCGGCAATGGCCGAGGAGGCCTTCAAAGAGAGGCTCTGGGTTACAAGCTGGACAAGAAGTTCCCGACCATGGCCATGAGATGGACGAACAAGGAGGTGATTAACTACATGAAGGCCCATCCTGGACCATGGGGAGCAGTGAAACTCAGCACGTACTCTGGCCAAGGGAACACACCTTTCATGTTGGCTTCCAAGGAGGTGCAGTTTGGTGGAGGCTGCACCGTATCCTGGAACTTCATCAAGCCGAGCTCTCCCAAAGAGGTCGTCTTGAAAGGTTTTGTGCGCAATCTCAGGTACTTCATGATGATTTGTGGGACCGGCTTCAAGAAGAAGTGACACCCAATAGGTTTTGCACGGACGGCTGCCGATCGCGAGTTCTCGGTCTGTTGTATCGGTGGTAAGATACAGTAGGTCCTGAACAGCTCCTGTGGTTTATACAGCTGGCGTTGACCTGACATAGATCAATGCAGAGTGTTTGATGACATGTACTCGAGCTTCGACGCACCTCTCCTCACAGGCCAGTCCTGTGTCGTGATGAGTGCGTCACTGACAGCACGAGTTTGTGAATGTCTGAGATTATCCTCTCCATGTGATGTTGCAAGGGTCGCAAAAGGCATCGATTCGGCCAATTTCCCCCTGACCAATCAGCTTCATCCTGCGATTCGAAAGCTCTCCATGGCAACGCACCCGCCTGTAGTCCTAAAGCCCAAAACGACATATCAACTAGAACTTCCAGACCCCGGCATCGACAGCAGTCTTATGCAGAAGCACAGTCTCGTCTGCAGCTCCAAATGCCTGGGCCTCTCACTCAACTCCGAACAGCAGGCGACTGTCCGCGTCCGCCGGGGCATCGACATCGACGCCGGCTGCGGCCAGCTAGCGGTGTCTGGCTTCTGTCAAGAGGTTGTGGGTTGAAGGAGGCGAGGTGTAGACAACATAGGTGCCCTGCATTCAGGGGGCAAGCTATTGAATCGAGCCATCGGGAAGTGGCACGCATGGGAGCATGCAAGAGCGTGGCTCGGATTAGATGGATGCCGGGATTCTGCCAAACAGAGTCCTGCACAGGGGAAGTAGAAGCGCCTACAGCCGACACGCCGGTGTAATATGATGGCGAATTCTGATCTGGAATTTGGGTCTTTGCCCTCCATCCTTCTGTCCGAACTCTCCCCACCGGCCTGAACATGTCTGGGACCTCAGGCCCGCATGGGACATCGATGTCAAGCTTTCTGCATCCAGAGCTTCACACCTAGACCCTCTATGTCCCATGAACTGAATGCAAAGCTGCCCGGAGCTTTTCTTTGACCTGCGGACAAGGAGCGGGCGCTGGAGGCCTACGAGGACGTCGAGGCGCTCAGGGTTTGACAGTCCCAAATCTTTGGTTCTAAAGGCTTGTCCACAAGCTTCTGTTATGCACGCTCCATGCTTGTCCGGCAAGTCCGGTTGGCTAAGCGTAGGACACCTGCGCCGAAAGCCTTTGATCCTGGAGCCAGTGCCCTAAACCTAGAATCCTCCATCCGCAAACTACCAGAGGGCGGAACTTGAACCGGAAGCTTCTGTGAGGGTTCTCCAACTGCCCTCGTGTAGCTGATGTTAAGCATCAAGTTGCCATCGGCCAGTGCGCGGAAATTGGGATTTCGTTATGGTAGCCGTTTGCGCGTGATCGTATATTGAAGGAGACCCATCCTCCAGAATCCGAACATCCTACGATCCGGGAGTTGCAGAGATCAGGTCTGAAGAGCAGCATCTAGATGATGAAGACTTCTCAAACCGACGCCCCGTAAGCCCTAAACCCCGAGCGCCAAGCCCGAAACCCTGAGCCCCAAAATGGAGCCCAGTGTACCAAGTTAAAAAAAACATATTGAGCCCGAAATCCGAGGTGGATCAGATGGCCGTGGCCGCGTAGTTTGGAGCTTCTGAGTGCTCCTGTCTTGGAACGAGAGCCCTGAACCAGTTGTTCAGGGTTTAGGGCCTAATAATAGGGTTATAGGTTTAGGGTTTACAGGGTGGTTTAGTGTTTAGGATGGTTTAGGGTTTGTGTATCTGAGACGAATACAAGTTTAGATGACAGCTCCATCTCTCACACACTTTCACAGTCCTTGCGGCCTTTGAGATTCCTTGCAGCTAAGCCAAGCTTGTAATCTCTGAACTTATCTGTACTACAAGACACTCCTTTAACTGAGCTAAAAAAATCACGTAGTTTTTGGCCATGAACCTGGCAACTGAGATTAGGGTGTGGATCAAACACCCGTATAGGGAGCAGTTCCTTCATACATAGACATAGCGAAGATGGGGGCCTCGGATATGCCTGCACTAGTTCGTCGTGGGAACAAGAAGGGGTAGCTGCGACTGAAAGGGGCATTTACGTAGTTTAGGACCTTTGAATGTTCGAGATTGTTCCGTGACATCGCCCCGCCTGGCAGCGTGGTCACCAAAAAGGACACCCAAGCCTTGAGGTGCACGAGATATCCAGGGATTGAAGGTTCTTGCGGCTTTAAGGCTTCGGGCTTCGGGTTTGGCATTTTTGAAGGGGACTACGGGATTTTGGGGGTCCGGCTTTCGGCCCTGAACCCAAAGCCAACGGTCGTTGTTTGATTTTGGCTTGCACGTACTGACGTGGGTCGATTGTGACTATGCCGGCTTAAGATTTCAGAAGACGGTTTGTCTCTCAGGTATCCTCATTCGGAAGAATGCAAAGGAACGCCGGGATTTCGGACAACCATGATGTTCCAACAGAATAAATGCTCTCGCTCATTCGTTCTTGGCGGTGGCCCTTAACATCAGTATTCGGTAACCCACCTCACTCTGACCATGAAAAGCATCATCTAGAAGCCTCCAAAGCCAAACGCCGCGCATATCGTTTCAGCCAAAACCTTGTACACCATCAGCTAACAGCTAACTGCCGCCAAATGTCTGTGACACAGACGTCGGGCGCAATTTGTTCGCCATCACAAGACGACATCCACTATGTACCAATAACCTGAACATGATCAAGACCAAGAAGTGCTGCGATCATGGCACAAACAAATATCAAAAGGGCAAAGATGAGAGCATGATAACGGTATCAAGAGGGTATCTAGCCAGCACCAAATGCAATGATAAGGATCACAGGAATGGGTATTACTGGTTATTCTCATTTTTAGTGTTCGTGTTCATGTTGTTACTAGTGTTATCATCGTCAATACCATGCTATCAAATTTTTTTAGATTGATGAGACACGATGCCAGATAGCAGCAGGAACGCGACTTGCCATCTTTTCCGTGAGGCCGTTGCGGTGATCTTGGGCGTGGCGGACACCCGCTGGTCCAGCATGCGGAAGCTGTTCTCCGGCACCGGACTGCGCAGTCGGATTTCGGGGTTGAGAGGTCAAGGGGTTTGGGGGTTAGTTTAGGGTTTGGACTTCAGAGTTTAGGGTTCAGGGCTGCCGGCTTAAGGTCACTGATAGGGATGCTTTCTGCTTCACTTGGGCCCAGGACGGCACATAAACTTAGAGAACAGGAGGCTGCCGGGCCTGCGTTTGTGCATACCACTACTTTGAGAAGTGCTTATGCTTTACAGAGCTTCATTGGGCGATGTTTGAGTGCTTCTGAAGTTTTGTTCGAGTCTTGTCGTTGTATGATATGTGATATGTTGAACATTGATAGTACTGCAAAAACCCAGGCCCCACAGCAACCTCTTCTTCAGACTGAAGTTTCTCATCAGACCGTTGGGGCGTTGCTTCTCGGATGTTCCCCTCGTAAGTCTCACACACTTTACCGCGAAACAGATCGCCTAAACTAGGCTCCGGACGCACCTTCCTGCATTGCTACAAACTTGGAGTCGGAGGGACCCGTCGTGTGGCGGCTCCTGGAGGTCGCCAGCTTCCTGTCGGGAGTTTCCGAAAATTAGGGGTACCTTATTTGGGGGTCCTTATGATAAGGATCCTACTATTTACGGTACTATATTTGGATCGCCTATTTTCGGAAACTCCCCTGTAAATCCGAAACTGAAATTCGGAACCCGTCGCTGGCCTCCATGGGAAGCCACGACCGCTCCGACTGAAATCCTGAACCCTGAAGCCCGAAGATCCTGAAGGTCCCAAACCTATGAAACCACATCATAAAATGAAAAGCTTTACAATATACGAACTAGTATCATACCATATGTATATATATATATATATGTATGTATGTATGTATATACATACATACATACATACATGCACACATTCCCCCACACACACACACACAGGCAAGATATAACAAGCTGACCAACGAAGGTTAGACAGCAACCTCCTGAATCGTCTCTGCTCGCGTGGAGCCCGGCTTTCGGCTTCAGCGCAGGTCCGGGCTGAAACTGGACATCCAAGAGCAGTAGTACTTGCGAGGTAGCCACCCAAAATCCCTGTAGTCCTGAAGCCGTAAACTAAACTCTGCACAGGATCCTCATGTCGATTCTAATTACGGTTGGCAGTTGTTGTTGTTGTTGTTGTTGTTGTTGTTGTTGTTGTTGTTGTTGTTGTTGTTGTTGTTGTTGTTGTTGTTGTTGTTCAGCGTTTCCGGTTGAGGGTTTCGGGTATTGCCTCTGTACATGTATTGCCTAGTGTAGCCGAAGACGTTGTTCCAGCCGTTTGGGCAGGCATCCCTTTGCCCTGCCCCCCCTCTCCGAACCTTCTAAAGATCCGATAACGAAGCCTTCGGGAAACACACGAAGCCCCTAAAACAGCTGCAAACCCCCAAACCCCTAAACACCAAAGCCTCTAAAGCCTAAACCCTAAAGGCTTAAGCCCCAAACCCTAAACCCTCAAAACCGAGGACCCCCCCCCTCTTGGGACAGACGCCCTTTCGAGGTTGAATCCGGCAGATCTTTCGCCGACTCAGTTGGACCGGCTTCAGACGCTCTTGCAGGCTCCAAGGGGGGGGCTCTGTTTGCTGCTTTTCTCTTTTTGGTGGGGCTTTTAGCAGGAAGGGCGGGAGCTTTGTAAGATGCTCTTGTAAGGTATTGAGGAAGGCGGATGAGAAGGGGGGAGCTCCAGAGCAGAGAGGGAGGTTTCAAGCAGGTTTACAGGGTCCTTTGGTGTCGTGGACGTATCTTTCTGTGGCTTCAGGCGCCTTTCCACGGGCGGTTATCGCACTTTGGGTCCAGGCAAGAAGACCCGATACCCCACGACACCCCAACACCCCAAAGCCCTACCGAAGCTTGCAACCTCTCAGAGCCCCCAACCCATATATTGCCACCCTGAATCCTCAGCACGGGCGGAATGCCTATTTGGGAGGTGCCAACCTTTTCAGAGAGCTTGGACGAGCGTTGCCCAGCCGTTGCCTCGCTGGCCAGGCGTGCACACAGGGATTGAGGGTGTGGGGCTCTAAGGGTGCAGGGTTCGGTGTGTTTGGTTTTCAGGGCTCGGGGCTTGAAGCCTTGTGTTTGCTTGCTTGAAGATCGCTGACACAGGACGCAAGGGTGAGCAGGGGCAGGTTCGGTGTTCGCTGGGCAGCAACAAGATTTTTCTGCGCGGGGTCGAACTAGACTCTTGCGAGCCCGTCAAGTCGGAATTAGAAGTCTCTTAGCACTAAGGGATCAGCACTTGACGCTGAATGACATACACGTGGTTGAGACCTTTCCGGAAACCCTGACAAGTAAGCCTGAACCCTAAGCAAAAGACCTCAACCGAAGCCTCAAACTTTGAACGCGCGGGAAGTGAGCCGGGCTAAAGGGAACGGAACCAGCCTGCCCAAATGGGCTCTCTGTGCTGTACTGCAGTATGGAAAAAGGCGTTACAAAAAAAAAGCGCGACGCAAAAACCTCAACGTGCAATTCAAAATGTGAAGTAGACCCGTAAAATCAACCTTAAATCCTCACAGTAGCTCAAGCGCGACCGGCAAGGTGGTGCAACGCTGTGGGGGGTGTTGGCGAACGGCCCGGTGAGGCCTGGACTGGTCTGGCTGCGGGGCTTTTGGCTCTGAAGTCTGAAGCCCACACGCCGCGGAAGTTGAGGCTTTTCGGGCTTCAGGGGCGTTAGGGCCTCTGGGTAATTTCGGGCTTATCTAGAGCTGATCGATTAGAGGTTTTTGGCGTCAGTGGGTTTTGTGTTCAGGGTGGTTGGGGGATGTGCAGCATTGAGTTTTGAATTCCTCCCTGTCTACACCCAAACTTCAGCTTTTCCAAGACTCAGGGCTGCTGGACTTGAAGCATGCATGGCTGCTACCTTTTCGGAAGCTGGGTTGTTGACCAGGGAAAGAATGGCTTCTTACTTGGTCTTCATTGCTACTGATCGGGAGGCTGTTTATGTCCCGAAACCCGCAACCGCCAACTCTGCCCCAAACCCTGAACCCCAAACCCTGAATCCTACAGAGTTTCCGAAAATCATTGGTGCCTTAGTTTGGGGTCAGTATAATAAGGATTATGCTACTTAGGGAGGTTTGGGCAGCTCTGGGGGTCACTTGGCCCCTGGAGCCAAACTGCCCTTCTCCTTCGGCGCAGGAGCGGCCCGGCCAAGGCGGTCTGCTTGTGGAGCCCGACCTCTGGCTGCTGAACGAGGTCCCCCCCCCCCTGTCCGGGGTTTAGGGATTTTTTAGGGTTTCTTAGGGTCTCATAGGGCTTGGGGGTTTTAGGGTTTTTGGGCCTTGGAGGTTGGGATGTGGGGGGTCCAACTTCTCGGGTTCAGAAGGTTAGTGTTTGGGGTCGGTTGTTCGGACTTTAGCTCGGGGTCCGGGGTTTGGGATTTGGGCTTTAATTGAGCCTGCCGCATTCAGCCCGAAGCCCGAAGATGACAACCGTCGTAGATCCAAACGGTCCGACGGTTTCAAGTTTACTCCTCATTTAGGGGTTTAGGGATTAGGGTTTTCTTGAATTCTAAACCCTCAACCGTAGACCTTCAGACCTGTGCTTGAAGCTCCGTGAAAGGCGCAGCTTTCAGCAGTCCACGACTTGACCGTCACAAAGCAGGGTATTGGGCGCCCCGGCTTTCGCCGTGAGAGGATCTTATTCTTGCATTTGGGGCTATTTTGGGCCTTGCGTCAGGAACCTGGCAACTTTCGAGGCCTTCAGACCCCTCTCGACAGAGCGGCTAGGGCTCGGTCCGAAGTACCCCTTAGTCCAGAGGCCGGCGCTCCGTTGTGGGGTGCGCGACAGGGTATGGTGCCTCTGAGACTTTCGGATTCCGCTTCGGGGTTGGGTTCAGTTCGAACTCAGCGCTCCGGATTCGGTCCAGGACTAAGGATTCGGGGTTCCGTAGGTTTCAACATCCTACAAAGCCCAAAACACAACCGATTTAAAAGGCCGTAAACCCAAAGTAGCATAGGACCATACTAGTAGGATCTTGTAGAGGCTTCTGAAGCACGCCCCACGCCGAAAATCTGGAGTTCCTCATTGCTCACTTTGCCCGATACGCCCTGAGCTCCTGTGAATCTAAAACCCGAGCAGCCTGCCTTACGAGCCCGACAAGTCCTGTAAATCGGTAAATCCTTAACCCCTCTTAGCCATTTTTAAAGTATATACGCAGCCCTAAAGCCTAGGTGCTATATAAATCCCAAGCCGAAAAAAGCTCTAAAGCCTAGGTGCGTGACCTTCCACGGCCAGACAGACTGCCGGGAGCTGGTCTACTGCCTCCCGGATGTGGTGGTGCTGAACCCTGGGGAGGTCGCATGGGCTCGGAGGTAGGATTTAGGGTTTCAGGATTTCGGGATTTAGGGTTTCGGGACTTAGGGTTTAGAGTTTAGAGTTTTAGGGTCTCGGGGTATAGGGTTTAGGATTAGAGTCCGGCCATTTGTGCGTAGGTGCCGGCCAAGCCCGATGCCTTTGAAGTCAATATGCTTGGTCCTTAAACCCTACATCCGAAGACCTCTAATTTCTAAAGCCTTTGAATCCCGAACGCCTAGATCCGACCAGGTTCCTTGAAGCCCTGAGCTCTCTACAGATCCCGTCAAGTGTGGGCTGGCCGCAGGTGGTGATCTACCCCAATCAGAAGGCCTGCTGTCCTCGGTTACTGTTTCCCTCTGTTTCTTCTGGGCGAAGAAAATCCGTTGGCTCAGGGTAGTGTAAGTCTGCGATGGGCAAGAAGCGCATCCGAAGTTCTGAATCCTTTGTGCAGCCTTCTCACGACAGTCTCGAAACTTTCAACCCCGATTGTCCCTAAGCCCAAAACCCTGGCCCTTAACCGCAAAACACCTGAAAGCCCTAAACCGTAAACTCTGGACCCTTAAATCCTCAAGGTTTAACCCTGAGGTCTTGAACCTCAAGCCCCGTTGACCCTGACTGCTAGGCCCTTCGACCCAAGCCTTCTAAACCCAAATGCGCTGTCCTAAGCCCCGGGCGCCTAAAGCCTCAAACCTTCAATGAAGAAGGTGAAGCCACCCGTTGGCTCTGGCTTGAACAAGCCCTCCACCATCAAACTGCCCGGCGGCCCAGAGAAAAGCCTCGGGGCTTTCCGTTTCTAAGAGCGCCCGGGTTCTCGAGTAGGGCTTGGGCTTAGGCTTCAGGGCCCGGGATTTGTTTTCACGTAGCAGCCTGAAGTTGCCTTGCTCCCGGACGTTATTCTGTTAAGGGTTGAGGGTCGTAGCGTCTTAGGGCCCTGAGGTTTACGATGAGGGCCTCGGGTGTTGCGATGCACACCTCCAGCCCTAGATGTAGTCTGCAGGTATCAAAGGGCCTAGCCTTTGCATCTGTGGAAGGGACCCTATGGCTCACGGTGGAATAAAACAAAGGCTTCTTTTGCGGTCACCACGATTGCTAAGGCTTTGTATCGAACCAACGAAAGCCCTAAGCCCTCAGCCCTAAATCCTGACCCTAAACTCTAAACCCTACAGCCCTACACCGCTTTTCCCTCATCCTCAGCCCTATTAGACTCGTTCAACTCTCTGAAGCCTTGGCATCGCTTGTCGTTTGCCTAGACCACGTTCGACTCTAGGCGCTCATGGGTCTAAAGTTTAGGCTTTAGGGTTTAGGGGTTTGGGGCGTAGCGTTAAGTGCACGGGAAACGATGCCATGAAAGTGCTTTGGAACAGTGGCTCCTCTGATCGCATCGTACACGACCCCATAGTATTTCAACATAGGTATGGCTGCCTCCCAAAGACTCAAGTCTTCCGAGATGAGCTCCTTGGTGTGCATATAGGGGCTTGGAGCGTCTTGAACATGATTGGTTTTGGTGTTCGGTTGTATGGGGTTGCGACTTTTGTTCCAGAGTTTTGGAATGTAGGCTTTCGGTATCTCGGTTCTTAAAACCCTAACCTGACGGTCAGCGCCGCTATTTACCCAGATAAGGCCGCAAGAAGCTGAAGTTAAACAATGACGTTTGGGACAGCTCGGATTCCAGCGCAGCCTTGGCATGCCTTTGAGCCAAACCCGCGGCAAAGCAAAGCCTGTTAATGTGGCCAAGACCTTCCCTTGATTTCCCTTGCTTCTCGGACTTCACATCCTAGCTTAAGGTATAGGGCTGCAGGAGGTTTACGGCTTAAAAGCTTTACCAACTTTTCTTCATACCGCCGTTCCTGTGCACCTTCAGCACTTTCCCGATTCGCAAAAGGCCACGACTGATGCCACGACTGTAAGTAACCATTGATGTCTTTCTGCTAGGGATCAGAGTTCAATCGAACTCGTGGGCAAAACTCTGTCGAGACATCCATTGCGAGCTGCATGTCGGCTTCTTGATAAAAGATTCAGATGTCCTCGCATCAGCATAAACGAGTTCTCTCGAAGCACTTTCAACAGTCATCAGAGATTTGGTGAAGGTCCAACGCCGGAAGCTTGAAGCACACAATGGGGATGGGGTTCAGGTTGCAAGGTTCAGCGTTTACGAGCTCTGCGTTCGGGTTTAGGTCAGTGGTTACGGGTAGAGGCCTTCCGGCTTGTGTATTTTGGCTTTCGGTTTAGATGTAGCCAGTCCCTCACTTTGTTCAGGGCCTTAAGCGCTTGGCTTCAGGCTTCTATTCTACAATAAAGCAATCAGAGATCTCTCCCGAGGCATCCCTGTTATTTGGTTGTTTATCTGCGTGGCTTTTGTAGCGAATCGTGTTCGGGACAATTCTGTCAGACCTGACTGAGGAAAGCCCGGGAGAAATACCGGACGCGAGTCAAGACCATGACAGAGGAGCCATTGGGGTCTGTGTTTTCTCCATCCCCAACCCAAAACCCTGAGCGCACAACCTTCCTGAACCCGAAAGTCTAAACCTTGAAGCTGAGATTCTGAACACTGCACTTTGAGGCCTAAGCTTCTTCAGATTTTGCGAGGGTTCGGTGGCGGGAGCTTGGTGTGCCATGGCTTTCCTTAGAGCGTTGGAGCCCTAAACCCTACATACTCAGAAGGTTTGTCGTTGTGAGGATGAGGGGTTTAGGGCTCGATTGAGGGTTGTGGGTTCTGTCTGGGCTTCGGGGTTTAGGTGTTGGGGTGGAGGGTTGCATTTGGGGTTCAAGGTAGGGGGCTTGGATGGAAGAAGGACGAGGTGTGCGTTACTGTATCAGGCATCGTTGTCGGGTTTCGAAGCCGGGAGTTCCTAAACCCCAAACTTCAAACCCCAAACCCCCATGACCCATAAATGCCAGAATCCCCAAAGCCTACATGTAGAACTCTAAGCCTTCAAGGACACAGACCCCCAAAGCCCAAGAGCCTCTAAGCCCCTAGATCCGAAACCCCAAACACCTCAGCCCTTGGCCTTTAAAGGAGAAGGGGGCCGAGTTCATCGACTACGACTGCCAGGGCCTCGGCCAGGAACACGGGCTCGCTCCGTCCCGGCCTGGCGGCGCTTTGGGGCTTTAAGCGCTTTTGGGGGCTGGTCCTATTTTAACCCTAGTATAATGGCCAGAAAACCCTATTCTAATTGTTAAGGTCCCTATGTTAATTACTTGGAGTGCTTGTGTTGGAGTCTTAAGGGCTGGGCAGTTTGGTATCAGGCTCTACCATCCCTTATTGTGGCGGTGGGGGCCCGGGGGGGTTTCAAGGTTACAGGGCTTTGAGGGCTTCTTCCGGACCTCGGGTTGCTAAGACTTCAGGGCCATCCCAGGGGTGTGTTTTAGGACTTTTTGTTCTTCTAAGGGTGGCGGCTTATCTCGCAAGTTTCAGGCTTTGGGGTTTAGATGGGTTTCAGGTCAGGCTTTAGGAGGGCTTCAGGATGCAACGGTCTAACATTAGGGCTCTAAGCTTTCAGGATTTAGGGCCGACTCGGGGTTTCAGGTGAATGTCAGGTCTGTAGGGGCCAAGTTTCAGTTTAGTCTCGGATGGAGTGCCAGTTTAACCCTAAACGCCTAGGGTTCAGGTTTAGATTGGACTTATGGCCTTTACCGTTTCTTGGACTCCGAGATCCGGTTCAGTTTTTTCCGGGTTTAGGATTATTTGAAGGTGCTGTTCCGTTGCGAATGGTGAACGAGTTTGAAGTTGAAGGTTGAGGGATTCCGGTGCCCAAAGACACAGAGGCCTTGCACACAAAGGCCCTACTTTCGACCAATCTTGAAATGAGGTTTCCGGGGCCCTTCTGGCAGTTTGGATCCTGACGATGCAGGGTAGGTAGTGGCCTTATTATAGATGGTCGACGGTACCCTTGGAACCCTCAACCCTTCGAGCAGCTCGTGACAGGTGACCAGGGCGTCTGGCAATTCCGCGTCACGCACTTCTGAAAGAGCCTTCGGGGAAATCCCTCGTCACGGGCCCCCTATTCAAAAATATTTTGATTTTGGAAGGCACTTGTGTGAATATTTATCCGTTTATGTCAGTATCCAGGGATGCAGGACAAGCACACCGTGCAGCCCGAAGACGCGAAACTTTCAGTGGTAAACGGAAGGGATCTCGGATGTACAGAGGCTCCCAGACAGCAGCGGGAGGTATCCTACAACAATTAAATGCACGGCGCGGGCGCGACCACTGCACATCGGAAGGGCCTGAATATGCCTCGCTGATATGTCTTTGCTATTGTACCTGTAAGAGCATCTTCATGCCTTTGGTGCGGCCACGCAAATGTCATCACTGTCTTTGCAGTACGTTTCCGTGTCCCTTGAAGGTCCTCACTCCCGAAGCACACAGGCCTGGTCTCCCCTCAAAGGCACGGATAATTAAATGGTTAAAATTCGCTTCGAGACGCTGCACGCAGATTCAATGCAAAGTTCGAATCTGATGCTGTGAGTTTTCAGATCTCGGCAGCAGGTTTCGACATCCCACGAGGGTTACACCACAGAGTTACTGTATTTCGAGCCATGAACCGTTAGTTAGTTAGCTAGCTAGTTAGTACAGACAGAGTCAACATCAGAGGTGACCCGCGTTGTAACTGTGCTGATGGTGGCGTAGCAGAAGTATCAATATAAATAGTTCGGATTGTTGCATCCTTAATCTCTCGTTCAGGTCTGGGCAGTCTGTGAGAAGGGGTGAGGAACGCCATTCTTGCACCTTTCCGGGTTCGCAATCTCTGCACTAAAGTCTACGATCGGGGCTTGCGTCCGTTTTGAGCATGCGGCCGGTGAGTGGTTGTGTTTGTTTCGACGAGTTGAGGGCAGGTCTCGGCACAGAACCTCTGAGCGCAGTTGAATGCCGGCCGGCAACCCACACGAAGCACGACACCCTCCACATCCCAGAGCCCGAAACTTGACGCCTTCAGCATTCCCGGGCGCTAAAGGCTGCCCTAAACCGTAAAATAGGGGCCTCAATCATTACCTATACTATTTTGGGGCCCATTATGCTACACCCAAAACCCTATTCTAATTATTAAGGCCCCTCTATTATCCCCTCGCAGTTCCACGGATGCTGCGGTCCTCTCCGAGCTGGCAGCCGCCGGCGCGGCAACGAAGGTCCTCCAGGCCCCGAGTTTAAAGGGATCCTTTGAAGGGTCACCATAAGGGTACCATAAGGCTTCTATAAAGGGTTTAGGGTGTAGAGTTTCCGAGAATTAGGGGTAAGATATTCTGGGGTCCTTATACAAAGGATCCTACTATGTAGGGTGCTATATTAGGGTCCTCTATTTTCGGAAACTCCCAGTTTCACAGGAACTACGGCGTTCAATAAGATTCGCTGAGGGATTTTGATGGGTCCATGAGGGTGACTACGTTGCGACAAGGTTACTTTGAAGGTTTCTGCACCGGCTCCAGCAAGGATGACATATGATTATACAGGGCTACGATGCCATGAGAAAGGGTTTCTATAGGGCTTACTACAAGGGCTTCTCCAAGGCTTCCATAAAGGTTACTGTATTTGCATAAGGATTTCTTTAGGAGAGCAGGGTTCCGTAAAGGTTCTGCAAGGTATCTGAGGGCTTTTGGGTCTAGAGCGGGCACGTTGTCGTTCGACTGACTGTCCGTCAGTCTTATGCTGATTGGTGAGCTTTTGCTGTTGACGGGCCGTTTTTGCAGGTTCAGCCAATCCAGGGTAATCAGTACTTTGCACATAAGTTTCAGAAGGAGGCTACTTGGTCGAATTCAACTCTCGTGCATCCCAGCGGCTTCATAAACGGAGGACGGTGTTTCTAAGGTTTCTAAGGACCGAACCCAAACTCGTATCTGGCCGTTTCGAGGTCTCTGAAAGTCGGGATAATTGAAAGTAGCATCCCTTGATTGAAAGTCCCTGTATATGAATCCGGATCCCCAAGCCCTACTCTAACCATCAAGGCCCCTATACGCAGGCCTTGCCCCTCCCAGCAGAGGCCGCCGATTTCCAGGCCCAGCTCCTTGATCTTCTTGCCGACACCTTCAGCAAGGCCTGCTCTCCCTTCCCTAAGCCCTAAGCCCTAAAACCCAAACCTAAACCATACCGCCAAGCTAAGGTTTAGGGAGTTTAGGGCTTTAGGTTCGGGGTTTAGAGTTTTAGTTTCAAGCGGTCTTTGACCCCCAAACCCGTTAGATCGCGCTTGAACGCAGCAGACTCCCTTCAGCACAAAGCAGATTTTCCCAAATTCAACCTGATATGGAAAAATCCAAGAGGACAGGTGACCGGGTTTCACCCAGAATCGTACATGTCAGCCCGGAAGCCAAAACTCGACGTGCTAAACGCCAAACTGCACTGCGGTCTTGAAGCCCAACCCTAAAACCTAAAGTCCCTCTGTCATAAAGCCCGAAACCCCACGGCCGTTATCTGGGCTTCGCCACATGCCAGGCTTGCCTGCGCAAAGCCACCTTTGTCAAGGTGGGCACCTTGCATCCAGATGCCAAGGGGCTGAACGTGCTGCTGAAGGCACAGGGTTTTTGCGGTTTGGATGACCAGCTTTTGCTTCGGTCTGGCGATCCGTGATCATCATTAGCATCACTATCATCATCCTCATCATCATCATCACCATCATCACCATCATCATCACCATTATCAACATCAAGATCACCATCATCATTGCCATCATCACCGTCATCTCATCCTCCTCGACTTCATCACCATCTTCAGTCACAATCATGAATCACCATCCTGGCCATCACTATCGACCCGACTCCTCCGAGTAAGTTTCCATTACGGTGACGGTTGTTGTAGTGAGCTTCGCCATCGTCATCATCATCAGCAGCAATCACAAACAGTTCAAACTCATCTCCACTGCTGTTCCCAACATGCATTATGATGACGATGAGGGTAATGTCGATGATGATGATGATGACAGAGATGATGATCGCCATCATCGTCATCATCGTAGTCATCATCATCGTCATCATCATCGTCATAACCATCGTCGGTGTCCAGCATCTTGAGGAACATCAACCACAACTACATCTACAGCTACTACGACGACGACAGTAACAACTACAACTGCATCACTAGCTACTACTATCTTATTACTTCTACCCTCGCCACTACCTCCGCCGCCTAGACCACGGCCACCACCACGGCTTACCGCCACCGCCACTGCCACTGCCGCTGCCACTGCCACGGCCACTGCCACTGCCACCGCCGAGGGCTGGCACTAGCACTAGCACTATTCCCAGCACCAGCACTAGCATCGAGCTACCACTACCACTACCACCACCACTGCCCCACCTACCAACAAGGGATGAAGACGATTACGGCGAGGATGCTTTTGCGAGGATGGTGATGATACTGCTAATTAGTGATGGCATTGGATGGTTGATGATGACAACGATAGCGGCGATGATGACACTACATGGTCATGATGATGATGCTGCTGGTGATGATGAGGGGAGAAGGAGGTTGATGACGAGGATGGTGCTCATAATGATAAGAGCCACGGCAGTGATTGTAAGAGACGTAATCACGGGGGCGATGCGGGTGATTCGCGATGCATCCCAGCCGGAAAGAGGTGTTAGAAGAGCCCCGCCTGGCCGTGAAAACGGCCGCTGGGAGCATCTTCGAGGCTCGGGCACTGGAGTTCTTTCAGAGGCACATGCTCAAGTCTTTGCTGGTCGTTGCTTGTTGGCGCAGGCTTCTAAAGGTTCTAAGGTCCAGAGTCATGACGTGTAAAGCTGTAGGTCGGTGCAGCAGTTTGTTCTGAGTTCGAACGTGGAGCTGAAAGTGGATACAACCACCGTCGCCGCACCACTTGTGAGTAGAAGCTGAAACTGAAGCAGGTGCGATGTGGCGATGAGACCGCTCAGGCGAGAGGAGAGTGCATCTCCTGGAGTATCATGTGGGTGCAGAGATGACTACAGCTACTCCTGCTGCTGCTACAACAACAACAACAACAACTACAACAACGACAACAACAACAACAACTACTACTACTACTACTACTACTACTGCTGCTACGACTACGACGATGGCTACGACTACGACGACTACTACATTGACTACTACCCTTACACTACAACGACGACTGCTACTACGACTATGCCTGCTGCTGCTGCTGCCGGTACGGCCACTGTTGCTGCTGCGACTGCCCCTCCATTATTATCCCTTCTGCTGCTGCTGCTGCTCGTGCTGCCGCTGCTGCTGCTGCTCATCATACTGATGCTGCTGCTGCTACTACTACTACTACTACTACTCCTGCTGCTGCTGCTGCTGCTGCCGCAGCTCCTACTCCTCCTACTCCTACTCCTGCTGCTACTACCCCTCCTGCTGCTATACGACTCGAGACAACGCCCCAGCAGTAAACCCTAGCCTGGAAATGCAACCCCAAGTTCTGAGCAGCTGGCGACATGAATGCTGTAACATGAAAGCAGCGAAATCCCGAAAAATCACTGCGGATCTTGTCTGAGTAGCTTTCGGAGGCTGCTCATACTGTAGTGTTTCTGAACAAGCATTGCATGAAAGCGCACAGATGTATGTCCGAATGCAATTTGCGACATTCAACGCAATACGTGTCTATAAAGATACAGATACTTTCTGTGAGGTATACGTAGCAACCAAAGCCATGGGAGCCCATGCTTCAAGGAGGCCAGCTGTGCGAACACCGCGAGTGCGCCTTGTGGCTGCGAATGCTGCGAGCAACATAGAACCATGCCGTTCGCCAGCAGGCGCATTGGTACAGGGCCTCGACACAGAAGAGACGCGAGAGGCGACGTTGTTGGAGCTGGCCAAGAAAAGGGAGTCACTTGAAGGCCTGGCAGTGGTTCTTTGGCATTCAGGTAGTGCCATGGAAGTGCTCAAGGAGGAGATTCAAGGCATCTATCCGCAGCTATCACACCCTCTAGCAATAACTCCGGCTGCATCCGATCGAGTTATTTATTCCCTGGCCTTGCTTCAATGCTTGGCTTCTGATCCGCAAACAAGGCCCTCGTTCCTGCGGGCACAGTTCCACCTGCTCGTGTATCCTTTTCTACATGCCTATGGCAAAGAACGGCCTGTGGAATATCTTCGGCTGATATCCCTGGGAGTCATCGGCGCTTTGATCAAGGACAACGATCGGCAGTCTGTCTGCTTGCTGCTCGAAACTGGTATTGTACGGCTCTGCCTGAAAATCATGGAGGGCGATAGTACAGATCTTGCCAAGACGGTTTCTACATTCATTTTGCAGAAGCTCCTGTTGGACAATCACGGCTTGAACTGCATATGCTCATCAGAGGACTGCCTTTGCACGGTTACTGACGTCCTCTCCAAGATGGCACAGGACCTTCAGCAAAAGCCATGCGACCGCATGCTCCGTCACATAATTCGGTGTTACCTAGCTTTGACACACCATGCAAAAGGGCGGCTGCGAGTCCGACTGAGTTTGCCGTCGTCCCTGAAGCAGCTGCCCGGCTACATCCGTCACAGTGCGGGCGTGGAGCATGACTTGAACCAGCTGTTGACGAAGATCCAGTTCAGTGTTGTGCAAACAGTCGACGATCTTGTGTGACACTGCCTTTCTCAAAGCTAATTGCGGAACGACTTGTGGGCCAGACTCTGGCTGCAAGGAACAGGCCGCGCATCATCCCGCCTGTTGCCCTGCTGAAGGTTTCTGCGCGAGCACGGGCTCATTCAAACACTGCAGTTGAATTGTCAGTCTGCCAGGAAGATCTTGTAGCGGTGTCTGCCGCCAATCCCCAACCTCGTACAGTGGCTGAACGCTAGACCCTTAAGACTCGCAAGAACCGCCGCCCAACAAGGAGCATGGACAGTTCAAGAGCCCTCGAAACATCCTAAGCCGAAATGTCAGAACCAAACTTCCAATCGCAAACCCTACCACAGATGAACTCGAACGCCCGAGCCGCAGCCTTAACTCACGTCCAAGCCCAAAAAGAAGTTCTTGCATTTGGGCAGGTCGTCCTCTCTCTGCAGGAAGAGCAGCTGCAGGGCATTGGACCAAACAAGGCATCTTGGAGGTTTGGGAGACGGCGATTAAAGTTTAGGGCTGGTAGGACTTTGAGCCTTTGGCCTTCGGCCGTCAGGCTTCGTGCTTGGTCGATGTAGGCTCTGTGGTCAAGACAAGACCTGGAAATTTTCTAAGTCTAAGTGTTTTGGGTCTTGGGGCTTGGGGTTTCGGGATTTGTGTTTACGGTGTTGCGGTCTTGGTCTCTAGGGAGAATGAGGTTCACTGCACTGGCCTCAGAATTCAGGTTTGGCTTTTTCGCCTTCAGGTGTCGAGCGCCTGGTTGTCCGGAGGTTCGGAAGTAACTGGTGGAGCGGCATGAAAGGGCTGTCCCACTTCTGATGGTCTTGATCGGGTTTGTGGGTTTGGGTCTTGGTTTTCAAGCGGCTGCAGGCAATTCTTTGCTTTGACATCTTTGATGTGTTGCATGTGCACACAGCTCAAGACAGCGCGATACAGTGCCTGAGAACTCCCAAAGCTCTGCACAGCACCTTACACGCAAGACACTTGTTCCATAAACAGACCAACTCTCCCGGTACGCAGAGCACATTCCCTAGCCTCCAACACCCAAGCCTCTGGAAACTATGTCTCTACAACTCACAAGAAATCAAGCTGCATTTCTCTTCACTCCCACCCTGGAAGATTCTTGAAGACCGTAGCGGAAGGCCGATGATCCCATACAGAGATGCCGCTGCAGTGACAGGCTAGGGTCTTCGGCTCGGGCCTCGCTTCTGCGGCATGGCCTCGCTGAAAGTGGCGCTGGTACAGCTCGAGCAATCGCCCGTGGAGGGCCCGGAAGACAAGGCCACCTTCTTACCTTTGGTGAGTAGGGAATGGAAGAATGGTAGTAATACTAGATATAATTGTACCCCGTTCCTCCATTCCCTATTAACCAAAGGCAAGCCTTTTCGGGTTTCACGCAGCAGCGAAAGAAGACCGGGGTGCAGCACGCCCGCAAGATCAATGTGTTACTTCGAAGATAATAGATTCGAAGTTGCCCATGAGTGAGTATGCCCTAAACCCCCAACCCTCAGCCGCCCCCTTACCCCCCCCCTACCCCCCAGCCTTACGGCCTAAAACCTCTTCGGGGCCCGGTGCCCGCAGCAGGCGAAGGCCGCTCAGCGCGCTGCAGATCTGCTTCGATCGGCGCCCGAGGCAGTGCCCAGACTCAAGGATGCCACGAAAGCTACCATCGGGGGTAGTACAAGGTTACTAACTAATTACAAGAGTTATGAGAAGGGTTACTATAAGGGTAACCCTTACGGTAACCCGGTTGCTAGAAAAGTTACCATAAGGGTTACTACAACGGTTTATTGTTGCTTTCAGGGTTCCAAGGGGCTCAGGAGTTTAGGGCTTTGAGACACGAGGCACTTCGCTGGGTTGGGGTTTGGGTCTTCGGGTTTAGAGGAGGTTGAGGCTTAGGGGTTTCGTGTTTCATGGTGCAGGGCTTTTGGGCACAAGGATGCCGCGCCTGAGAGTGATTGGTTCACCAGGGTGTTGGGTTCGGTTTCGGGTTTAGGGTTTGGCGGTGTTCTGAGCCTCAGGGTCTGTAGGTTGTCCTGAAGTCTTGAAAGTTTAAGGTCTACGAGTCTACGAGACATTCTATGTGTCCAGTGCCGGATGGTTTCTTGAGGGGCGTGTTAGAGCTCGTTTCGAAGTGTTCTGGCTGAATCTGGGCTTAAAAGACCGAGATAAGTGCTTTGCTGGGGGTTTTCGGATACGAAACTCTGACAACCTTGGCCCGGCCGAGCCCTCACAACTAGTCCACAGAGCCCCCAAAGCCCAAAGCCCAGGATATCTACGTGCTTCCCGAGCTTGCGCCAGTTGGCTGCTTGGCCCAACCTTGTCCTACGATGCAGCGTAAGGCTCCAGAGACGGGTTTGTTCCTGAGATTGTGGTAGGCAAGAGGGGATCCCCAAATCTGGAGATCTAGAGTCTAGAGGCTACTAGTCGCGAGATCGACAAGAGCTTGCCCCTGCAACAAGAAGAAATGGGAAGCCGGCTGCATGCCTGGGCTCTGCATGATGCCGCAGGGTTTAACGCTTGAGACCTGTGTAGACTGGAGTAGTCTTAAACCCTGAATCCTGAGACGCAAGACCCTAAGTCCAAGGCTCAACACGCGGGCCTGAGGGTTGAGAAGGCATGCTTGTGTGTGCAAGAGAGGGATTGGGGCGGGTAGTGGAGACCCAAAGGGTTGAGATTTATGCAGTTTAGTTTATGACAGTAGTAAAGGCCAAACGAGCTGCTATTACAAATCGATCGGGCTTCTCAGGCCCGGCCAAGACTAGAGTTTTAGGTTTGCAAGGCAGAAAGCTCTTCTCGCCCAGGTTACAACGATGCGGTTTTTCGGAATCTCCAGCTGCTTGCGGAGGAGAAAGGGTTTGGGGTTCAGGCTTTTATGGCTTAAGCCCACAACCCCCGAGCCGCAAGCCCTGGACCCCCAGCCCGAAAATCCTCAACGACTCTACGTCTTGGAATCCCCAAACCCTATGCCCCAAAGCCCTAGCCCAAAGGTTTCCGCTCTCAAGTCTCCAAATCCCCAGCCCGACGACCCTAAACCCTCCGGGCTCTCAGGGTGCATTTCAAAGTCTATAGATAGAGCTTTCGTTGAGGGTTGGAGTTTATAAGGTTACGGTCCGGTGTTTTGCGGTTGCTGTTGAGTTCAGGGTGTAATGGCTTAATGGCTGCCGTTCGATCGCTTTGTCTAGGTGAAGGGATGGGGCACTGCGCTTCTTGAAACAGCTTCCTTCTCTATCTCAGTTCTTTCTCGCACAGCTCAAAGGCCCTCTTAAGCTCGTCGTTGCAGACCTCCAGAGTCCTTTATACAACGCTTAAACAAGTAGGACTGTAGAGGCTGTATACAGCCTTGTAGAACCCTTATAAAAGGAGAGCTTAGGGAATCCTTGCCTTGTCAAGTCTCGGAGAGGACCCTTGCAACACCCTTGCAGACCGCGTAACTTTATCAATGACCCTTACAGAGAAGCCCAAAGCCCCCTTACAGAACCCAAATGCCCCCTTGCAGAGCCCCAGAGTCCCCTTACAGAGCGCTTAAATTCCCAGGAGGAGCTCTGTGAACCGGGCACCTGCCGGCACGCTCTGGCAGAGGTCGCGCGAGAGAGGCGCTGTTTCATCTGCTGCCCGGCTGAACGCCTGATTGCATAATCGTTAACTTACAAGGACATTGTTTCAAATCAAAAGACTCCCTTTGCGACAAGGCAAACCCCTCGGACAAACACGTCTGCATGGCGTTACAGCGATTTTGGCTGAGGTTTTTGTGCTACTTGCATCTACTGGGATTGCCATGGCTCGTTTTGCTTGCCTGGTACTGGGCCTTTTCAGTCTCGGGGCTGTGCAGGGGAGACTGGACTCCGAGCCTACGCCACGCCGGCTGCGAGGGCAAAAGGAGGAACTCTTCAACCAAGGAGGCGACGCAGGATGGTCCTTTTGGAACCCAAATCCTGAGGTCCTGGTCTGGGATGAGCAGGTATCCACGAAGGACGGACTGCAGAGCTACTTCGGCTGGCTGAAGACACCCCTGGTGCACGACATGGCGATACTGCCTTATGAACAAGTGCCCTATGTTTGCTTGCGTGTCCGTGCAATTCCGGCAACAGAGCAGCCTGCCAAGAACGGTCCCTTGCTTTTCCACTGTGGCGGACCAGGTTCTGGCAACAGCTGCGCTGCATCTTTGAGTCCCTACTTTGACATCAACGGAGAGGGGAACCAGAGCCGACTCCACAAAGACTTCGACTGGTGGGCCGTGGACCAGCGCGGCGTGGTCACCGAAGAACGTAGCATGAACATCACTACACCGCCGTGTCCTTTCAAATACAGCACGGGGGAGCCGATCCTTCCTTTTCCTCGGATGCAATGCAGTGAGATCCTGAGCTCGCTCCTTGGTGTCGACCAGATCGTCCGCCTGACGGTGGGTGCCAATGTGTCCGAGAGCTGGCTTCGTGAGGCCGCGCCGTACGTGGAGTCGATTCTCCAGTTCGGGGGATTGCAGGCGACAGTATCGGGCATCCAGCACTTCAATGAGACTTTTGTGCGCTGGTTCTACCGGTTGCTCAAACTGGAACACAGCCTTTGCTACAATGCTCCGCGATTCAAGCTCCAGGCGCCAAGCGGTCGTGAGTACAACGCCCTGCAATTCGGTGGTACAATGGATCTGGCCCAGGACATTGATCAGTTTCGTTGTGCCGTTGGGGCATCTCACATGTCGATCTACGGGGGATCCTACGGTACTGCAGTTGCCGGGGTTTATGGCACGGTCTTCGCGAAGCACGCGAAGCATTTGGTCTTGGACGGTGTCTTGGATCCCTTCCCAGATGTGGAGGAACGAGGTGCGTTGTTCGTCAAGGCCATCACAGCTACCTGGAACGGCGTGACACGGGCTTGTGACCAGTCTGCAGTTGACAGCGCCGAGGAAGAGCCCTGCCCTGCTGCGCCGTTGTCAGAGACCAAGGCTCTAAGCCTGATCCAAGATTCGAGCAATCCATCTCGGGCAGCTTTGATTTTTCAACTTCTGACACGGCTTTTCCTCACACCAGAAGGTCTGAAAAATCCAGACATGATCGCCAGCGTCATCTTTGCTTGTGTGGAGAAACATTCAGCTGGGCGCGACGTTGGGGGCTGCCCGGACTGGCTGCAGGGCATCGTGCCTAGCGACGACTTTGGCTACTCGGACTGGTTGGACGAGGTGGTGGCCTCAAATGAGACGGTTGCTGACGCGGAAACGTTCTTCGGTTCGAGTATCCACGCCCTGATTGTGGGCACGGACACCGCCGGTAGACTGAACGAAGAGGCCTTCATTCGCTGGTGGCGGATGTCCATGTCAGCGCAGCCTCTCGGCACGCCGTTCATGTTTAGTTGGGTCGTGTCCATAAGCACTTGGCCAGCAACTGCGAGACCAGTGCCACCCTTGGGAGATGCCAGTATCAGCCCCATGATTATAGGGAATTTGCACGATCCGCGAACTGCATACACAAGTGCCCAGCTGGCACGACGCGCTTTTCCACAGAGCCATCTAGTCACTTGGCAGGGCATTGGCCATGGCCTCGTGCCGGAGGGTTCAGTGGGCAAGGGGCTTCTGGCCGACTACGAGCAGGCCAAGAAGGAGCACCACATCCTGAACTACACTCAGCACATGGCCAGATATGCCTGTGTCTCACGGATCCAGAGCTTCCTCGACACCGGGGACCTCCCCCTCGACGGTCACACCTGCATCGTGCCAAGGCTTCTTGACACGAGTAGGGCACGCCTAAAGCAAGGCCTCGCATTCCTAAAAAAATCATTGAACCGTTCGGAAGAGGATTAACCCGCGAAGGGGGGTTAGTCCAGCCAACAAAAGAAGCAGCAGACCCCAACTTTGTGCGGCTGAAGAGGCGCACTGGCACTCAGATGCCAATTTGTACAGCTGCTGCACCTTTTGAGTCATGCGCCAGGCTGCGCGTGTATAGATGGCGCGGAGGCAAGCTACACATCTCGATGCAGCAGTGTCACAACTGTACAGCTACCCGGCAGCAGCATGGCAGCGGCGAGCGAGTCAGTAAAAGGCTGGGCCCCAGTGGCTGGGGACGGCAGAGGAGCAGTCGTGGGGTCGCCCAAAGCCTGCTTTTGAGCTTTGTGCTTGAAGGCTGTGCGGATCAACGTCCATTGTTGCAGGTGTCAGGGGCTTGGGTTGACCCCCAATGGAATTCAGTGGTGAAGTGTCACACTGTTACACTCAATGGCATTTAGTGGTGAAGTGTCACACTGTTACACTTTCACCAGCTGCTTCGCTTGCAGGCTACGGCGTCCCGGGAAAACAAGGAGAAAGCGACTTCAACATACGGTGCCTTGTCCGGAAAAGTGTCTTCATTGTCAATCAAAGCCGAACGCTTTAGATGATGTGAGCAACCTCTGCCCCCCTCCCGCTGGTGCAGTTGTGTATGTTTCGTCTGTCTCCGTCTATTTGTCTCGCATCCGTTGAGCGAGCTTTTTGCGAGTGTTAACATTGGAGGATTGTCTGTGATTTCTTGTTTGGAATGCTCTCCACAAGATAAGCCGGACTCAACAGGATAGAGAATGTTCACAACTGTCTTTCACAGGTCGTGGACACTTTCCTCTAGCTCTGCATTTTTCCGGGTGTGTGCAAGGCTCCTCCTAAGATTCCTTGTCGAACTCTCAAGTAAACCTAAACCCAGAATCCGAAACCTTAAGCTTTTCTTCTTACGGCCCAGGCAGGTGGTCCTGGATGACACCGGATCTGTTGTGGCCTCCTTGCCTGACTCCGGGGCTTCTGATTTTGGGGAGTTCAGCGCATGTTTTCGGGCCAGGGTTCGGGGTATGGATAGCCCGAAGCAGTGCCGAGGCAGACCATGGAGTGGACTAACGTCTTTGATTATTCAGGACCTCAGCGTCTTCAGCTCTGAATCCTAGACCTTCAAGCTTTGAAAGTGTCTGGACGAATCCGTCCGGCTAGGTTACCTGCCACTATGCGCTGTCAGTGGAGAGAAATGAATGATGCCAGAATTGACAACTGGTACTCTTACAATGAGCTCTGCTTTTTGGATGTCGACTGTTCAACGCACGCAATCAAGGCAACGTTGGAAGCCCGAAGTTTCAAAGTCGTTACTTTACTTGTAGCTAAGAGAGTACATGGGAGGAAGAATTGAGCAAGCATCCTAGGAAAATTTACTTCAGCCTGCAGACCGTCAATCCTCAGGCTTGCTACAACAAGTGCCATCTTGCTGACTTCGGCGACGGTGCCGAATCCAAGTACTTCAAGCCGGGTGGAAGGCTGTCGGCCCCGTTTCTTCAGTCTCACACATTGACCCACCGAAGTTCTAAGCTGCGATCCCCAAAACCTCAGGGATGCGCACGAACAACCCTCTCACAACTAAAGCAAGTACAAGAATGACTACGCTTCAAGTTGCTTCTCGTTGGGACGACCAGTGCTGTCCTAGTTTCTCTTCATCTATGGTCTTGGCTTCAGTTCTTGTGTTTAGACCTAGTCTTGCTCCCAGTTTGACTCTCACTCTCACAGCGGCTCTTGCTTTTGCGCTAGTTTGCTAGTGTTGCTTTCTCTTTTTGCTACTTCGTTATGCTGGTAACAAAGATACGAGGGCCTATTCTACGATCGCAGGAGGAATTCCTCAGGGCCTCGGTTTGCAGGGTCCTCTCGGCTTTCGGATGATGAGAATCGGGGCACCAGGGGCTTCGAGAGCTCAAACTGTCAGCCGACTTGGAACAGGCTTTGCTATTTTGAGTGCCGTGGCTTCCGCATCGGTCTGCGGCTTGCCTGCAACTTCTAAGACTGAACAATGCCTTCCTGCGTAAGCCCTGAACCAACGTACTCGTCAAGCCCGCGATGTGGACCCCGCACCCATGGTTGATTGGAGAGCACATTGCCCAAGCCTACCACACCACACACTCCAAGCCTCCAGCTATTAAGCCCCGGCCTGAAAAAAATCATGCCAAGAGGTAGGGATGACTGAAAACTCTCGAGGTCGGCCTTTCCTCATCCATCCGACTCCTCTTGCCCTATGCAGCAGATCACGTGGGATTGCAAAAACCAGGCTCTAAACGGAGGGTCCTCGAAACGGAACCCATCTTTGCTTTCTCCAACTACCGCAATGAATTTGTAGACCCATAGCCGATTCCAAAAGCGGATCCCATTTTATGTAGGATCTCGCATCCCAGCCTGTGTGTGGAATATCCGTGTCTAACTACTAGAACAGACCTCCGCATTCCATCCTGAGCCGACGGGGGGCAGGTAAGGAAGGCATTGCTTCGGCCACATAGGGCTTCAGGCTGCGAACCCTCAGGGATTCTGTAAGGCTTTAAGGGTTTCTGTATGAGGTGTTCTACAAGAGTTACCAAAAAAGGTCTCCGGACGGTTGCTTGAACAGCCGGAAGTGTCAGAGTTTGTGTGGGGCTTTTAGGGACCCCTACAGTAGTCATCACCCTTGAGGTTGATTTGTGCCGACATGCGCTTCAGCGAGCTGTTCTTCGCCTGCACGCTCGGGGTGTGCACTTTGGAGTTGTGAGGGTTTAAGGTAGCACTACTCGCAGCCGGTAGCCTCCCATCTGCCTGAAGCCTCGAGTTCCAAGCGAACTTCACGCCCAAAACCCCGAGAAATAACCCTTAAATTCTGAGCCCCGAACCTCGAAGCCGAAACCCAAGACCCAAAACCCTAAATCCGAACCCTGGAAGTCCACTGCCCGAAGCCCTCAAACCCAAATTGCTCAAGCGTTCACCTTGGGATGTACATCCGCTTTACTGGTAACGAACAGAATTCGGACAACCCTAGGTGTGGCCGGAATCCCACACCGCAGCCTCAACGCGCTTGCCCTTCCCAGTATCATCACTGTCCGGCCCTATAGCTTGAATCAAGGAGCCCCGTCTGAACATCCAGCCCCCATTTCTCCGAAGCGCTCAGCTACAGTTTTGTAAGAACTTGAGAACTTGTTCTTCAGACTCGCAAGGCAGTGGAAAAGCGCTGTACGAAACCTTCAATGAGCCTTATACCTTATACCTGAAACGACACCCTAAAACCCCAAACCCGAATGAGAGCCCCAAACCACCAACTTCGCTTCCCAGGTGCCGGGAGCTGGCTGTTGGTCGTGGCTGCGAGTCTCCGGTCTGCATTTCTGCAGTTTGGAAGTTTGGGGATTCCTTTGAGAACAGTTGGCGAGCACGGGCTTATTCGGAGCTCGAGTATCAGCCGAAACATTTTATTGAATCGGGTTAAAGATCTAGGGTGAGGGGTTTCGGGACTACAGGGGCTGCATGCAGGGGTTTATGGGTTTGGGGTTTCGGATTCAGGGATTTTGTTTGTAGGGTTGTGGGTGTCTGGAAGGATCAGTTTGCTGACACGTTCAGTTCTCGGTGTCCGTGGAGGGAATGAGGCTGCTGTTACTGTGAAGAAGAAAATTGCCCGACAGTGATGTAAAACAAGATGAACTGGCGATGGCCCTGGGGGGACTAATTATGAAAAAGAGGGTGATGGCGAGGATGGCAGAGGTGAGGGTCAGGATCGATGAGGAAGAGGAGGAGGAGAGGGTTTGGACTGCGGTGATGCTGACGGATGTTTATGTTTTGTTTCGAAAATAACATCGATGCTGAGCACGACATTGTTGCTGATGACATGATTATTATGATGATGCTTCTAGATTGCGTAATGATGATGGCCATAACTTCGACGTTGCTTCTGCTGCCTGTGCTGGTGACTTTGCTGATGGAACTGCCGAATGTTGTGATGGCGATGATGATTGTGGTGATGATGCTAGCTGCAATGGCTATGGCGTGTTGATGGTGATCGTGACGGTGATGCTGACGAGCCAGATGCATCATCCACTTTAGAAAGCATCTGAGCTGACTAGCAGTCATCGCGAGGACGCTTAATGAAGTTTGGCGCCACCAGCGCTATGAACAGTAACCGTCTTGCGATTTGCGGCCCGTTGTTCAAAGTTTGGCGATGACCACGGCAGGCAATGTCCGTAAAATTGTTGCAGACATCTTGAACGTTTAGCTGCAGCAAATCTGCAAGAGCAAGTTACAAGGATGAGACAAAGAGCCGCAATCCCGAGTCAGCCCCAATCCCGTGAGTTGAATGAAACACCCGCCCGAACCCTAAACAGCTATTGAAGGGCTTTGATTAAATTAGGCTTAAGCTGGGTCGAAAGAGATACGGACATCCCAAACCGTAATCTCATGGCTTAGCATACCGAAATCTACTAGTGCAGTATAGTATATCATGTATTGTAGTCTAATGTAGTCTATCTTAGTAGAGTATACGTGCTATAGTCGGATATAGTATATTATCTTATCCCCCCCTCAGATTCGTTTTCTCCCGGAGACTTCAGGATTCTTCTCCAGCCTGCGGCCTTTGCACGTGACGTGAGCTATGCAACCAAGACGGCGTTTTTGTTGAAGGGGTGTCGGGATGAGGATTCAAGGGGCCTTGGCTTAAGGGTGGTTCACGGGTTTTTAGGGAGTATATGGCCGAGGGCTTAGGGTTTAACTTCTTGAGGGGTGTTTCATAAAGATTCGCCACATACAGCCTGCCGTTTACCGCACATAGGCGTGTCCGCGCCCCCGGCGCGACCCCAACCCCAACAGACACAGGCCCTGTCGGCTGCACACCGCGCAAGGCCCCTGTCCAGCGTGTCAGCCCCCAACATTCGCTTGTCGCAGCTCCCCCCAAATATCCCGAAACCCTAAACTCTGATAATATGAAGTCCTGTAAGATCCCCACAAAACTTTTAGAGGCAAGCTGGCAGTCCTTCGTGGAGTGCCGAGCTCTGGAGAACCAGGTGCGCAGAGGGCTGGGTGCAGTGGCTTAAGGCTTTAACATCATAGCATATATATATATATATGTACGTAGCAAACTACAGTATAGAATAGTGGTGTTATAAAATGTAGTATATTTCAATATGTTATTGTGGTAAGTTATATAGTATCTGTAGCACAGCAAAGCATTGGAGCCTAGGGCCCTCAGCCGCTTACATTAGTGGGATCACTGTGGCACTAGTTAAGTGTGCAAGGCGGCCGCCCACCAAAACCCCTGAATGCATCCGAAACCCCGAGCTTCAAATCCCAATCCTTAGAACCCTCTAATACCTAAGTGGGCCCAAAACCTAAAGCCCCCCGTCGCTGTCACGCAGCTCGCCTCTGAAAGAGGTCTACTGGGCTGGCATCAACTATGCCGGGTCCTACTTCGGAGGCGGCTCGGCCCGGCAGCACAGGGCGTATTGGATTTTGGTATGGAGTGGTCTTGACTGGAGTTCCATGCCAATGAACAAATGTCAACAAGCAGCGAAGCAAGCCCAAGTCATCTACCTGCAACACTTTCCCAGAAGTCTTCGATCTTCGGTGACACGCCCAATTCAAGCCATTTGACGTCCCCACCCTTGAACCGAGGGTCGGCCTGTCATACTTTTGTGTTTTGTTGAAACCCGAAACCCTGGACACCCGAACCTGTAAACCGTCAAGCTCCTAAAACCCACATGCGCGAAACCTTGCATATTGCGTCATAAAGCAGTAAACCGTAAAACAGCTCAACCCCTGATGCCGAAAAACCCTGCCCAGTAGACTTCAGCGAAAGGCACTAAACCGACCAGAAGACCACACCTAAACCCTAAATTCAACCGAAACCACAAAGCCTAGGCTCCATGTGGTGTCCGCCGTGGGTTGATGGCTCGGACAAGGCCTCCGGCGGCTCTTTGCATTGAACATCCACGCCTAATCATCGGACACCGGTTGGTTGTGATACCATGCAAACATTGGGAAACGTGCACAAGTTGCTTTTTGGTTTTGGGTTTGGGGCTTTTGGGATCAGGCTTAGGGGACGTTTTCGCATGAATATGGTCGGGAACTGCCGCAAGAAAGCATCTTGCCAAGTACTCAGGCACCTGCATCAGGTCAATCAGCTTTCTCCGTTTGGTTTTGGATTCCGTACTTGCCCTGAACATCGTCACTAGACGGCGCATGGGCATGTATGTATCTCTCTGCTGGCGTCTGCATCGAGATATACATTTATCTATCTATCTCTCTGTCTGTCTGTCTATCTATCTGTCGCTCCCTCTCTCTCTCTCTCTGTCTCTCTCTGTCTCTCTCTGTCTCTCTCTGTCTCTCTCTGTCTCTCTCTGTCTCTCTCTCTCTCTCTCTGTCTCTCTCTGTCTCTCTCTGTCTCTCTCTGTCTCTCTCTCTCTATCTGTCTCTCTCTGTCTCTCTCTGTCTCTCTCTGTCTCTCTCTCTATCTCTCTCTCTCTGTCTCTCTGTCTTCTCTGTCTCTGTCTCTGTCTCTGTCTCTGTCTCTGTCTCTGTCTCTGTCTCTGTCTCTGTCTCTGTCTCTGTCTCTGTCTCTGTCTCTGTCTCTGTCTCTGTCTCTCTCTCTCTCTCTCTGTCTCTCTCTTCCCCTCTCTCAGCCACTCAGTCAGGCAGTCAATCAGTCAATCCATCCACCCATCTATCTGTCTGTTTCTCTGTCCGTCCGTCTGTCTATGTCTCTCTGCCCCTCTCCCTCGATCTCTACCCTGTCTACCTGTCTCTATCTATCAATCAATCTATCAACCTATCAATCATTCTATCTACCAATCTATCAATATGTCTATCTACTTGGCCAGCTAGCTAGCCAGCTAGCCATCTGTCGGTTCACCCACAATTTTGTGCATGGACATATGCGTGTGTATACCTACATGTGTACATGTATAGGTTTACACAGCTGCACACATATGCATAGGCATTCTAGGAAGTTTCTAATCTTATCATCTGTGAGCAGCCCGGGTACACTTCGATCCTGGCTTCAGGTCGTGTCTCGCATGGGCATCGAAGAGCAGATCACAGTTCACGAGGCCACGGTGTCTCAAGAGTTTCAGGGGCTCAAGCTCATACTTTCAAAACTCGGGCTTCTTCCGCATTTCAGGACTCCGGACACATGCCGTGCTCCGGCACAACCGCTGGGATGAAGTCCTGAAACCCAAAGCCTCAGACTTGCTTTCGGGACCTTCCGCCTTGCTGCAGAGACCGGAAGACCGCCTTCCCCCCCCCCCCCCCCCCCCCCCCCCCCCAAATCTACGGCCTTGCCAGGCTACAAAGGAGGAGCTGGCCTCCACCAGGGAGTCTTTCCGCTTCCTGCGGCAGCGCAAAGACCGCGCCGCTTATGGTGAGCCGACCTTGGCATGAACACAAATGTGAGCAGGGTTGAATCGAGCTTCGGGTTACCGGCTACAGTTACAAGGTTTAGGCTAGAATCCGAAACGCAGAGCCCCTGAACCTGCGGTAGAGGAATGAGAGTCTGAGTTTAAAAGAAAGGGTCAGGAGGTCAGGAGTGGTCGGGCAATATAGGTTTAAGGATCATCAATCCCTACTCCCAGAGTCCGTACCCAAAGGCCACCTCTTTGTGCCGTAAGCCCGTGCAAAGCCTTGCACAGGTCCTGGCGGCCCGAAATGCCTCGATCCGCATGGTGCAGGCGGAAGCTCTTCATGCAACGACGGACCGCTCGTGCCAGCACCAGAGCACTACCTGAGAACTCGATCCTTTTGCCGGAGTAGGACCCGCCGTCCCCAAACCGGGAACCACCGTGAACCCAAGCCGTTTGCGTGCATGCCACCACGTGAGGCATCTTAATGGGTTGGAAGACGTTTTTTTGCTTTCGCTCGCTGGCCATGTGTCAAAAACGGTCAGCTTGATGTCGCTAAGTGTCTGTTTCCGGGCCTCGTAAATGCTGTTCCTTCCAGAGCCTCAGACAAAGAACTACCACTGGAGGTTGGTAAGACTGTTGCAGAAGTCTGGAGTCTGAAGCATTGATTGGGCCGAGCTGCCATGAATTAGGCCTTAGTGCAGTTCATCACCGTGACACGACTCCTGCTTTCCACGTGTGCGGTCCATTATCGGAGATCAGTGCAGGGCGTAAACAACAAATTCATCTGGCCCTAAACCCTACCTACACCCTAAACCCTTAAACCCCAAACCCTTAAGCCCTCAAACCCTAAACCCCTAAAGCCCCAGGGCTTCATTCGCCTGGCGGTGGACAAGTGGGGCAAGCTGGACTTGGAAGTCGCCGGGCAGATCGACGAGGCCGAGCCCTGAACGCTAGGCCCGAAGCGAGGGTTTAATGTTTTTAGGTGTTTGGGGTTTTAAAGGTTTCGGGGTTTTAAAGGTTTCGGGGTTTTAGGGTTTTGGGGTTTTAGGGTTTTGGGGTTTTTGGGTTTTGGGGTTGTAGGGTTTTGGGGTTTTAGGGTTTTGGGGTTTTGGGGTTTTGGGGTTGTAGGGTTTTGGGGTTTTAGGGTTTTAGGGTGTTGGGGTTTGGTTTTACTTGGTTGAAGTGCTTCAAGTTAACTGCGAATTGCGACACTCTAGGGAAACTGGTCGAGGTCGAACAAGCATATCTCCAGAGCCTGAGGCCGCAATCGGAAAACCGCAAGCCGCATTTCTGATTAAGCCTCTGGCCCAAAACAAGCCGACCCTCAAACCCTGAAGCCTTCACCCCCGACCAACATGCCGAAACTGTACAGCGTCAGCACTAAACCAGTCGGCTCGAAATGTAATCGTGAGACACGGCGCCTTCAAGCGCAAACCCTAGACCCTTACTAACTGTAAAGCCCTGCACCCTCAAACGAACATGCATGCACCTAAAGAATCTGCGAATTAGTTGCCTATGGTGGGAACCTTAAGCTAAAGATTTATCTAGAATTCGTCTGGGATGTGCCCTCAGCCAGAGACTCCCGCAGCCCAACCCTCAACTTCCATTTCTGAAGTTCTAAAGCCTGACCGCCCGAAAACCTAAGGGCTGGATACAGAAGCCAAACATAATTATCCATGATATTTCGTAGGGTTCCTGTGTATATCTATAGATCGTGAAGATGTTTGTGGAAGCTGCAGGTTGGGAAGAAGAACCTCTCGGAGATCCAGTGGCCTCCCTTTTGGTTAGCGGAGGTTTCAGGTTTGCTATAAGGGCCTTAGTAGTTTTACTGGGGTTTCGGGGTATAGTATGTTATGCTATACCTACAGCAGGGACCATGAGGGGATATGAACACTACACATTATTAGCTGAGCCAAGTATTTGGGATTTTCCTCAGTCCACTCCTTTTCAGGGTGCACCGGTGTGCTTCGAGAAGGTTGTCCGAGGAGGAACACTTCACCGAAAAGTACGATTGCTCAAGGAGTGGCATGGCAAGTGCGGCTAAGCGCTTGCTTCTTTATTGGCAGCAGGTTCCCAGGCCTGTCCAGACCGTGGGTCCTGCCTGAGCTGCAGCCCGAGCAAGGGTGATGGGTCAGCTGGTGCGGCGTGGTCCCCGCGCTTGTTGAGGGGAGCGTCGACTCCTGCGCGTTTGTGCATAGTAAGGGGTGCGTTTGCCCTCGCGCTCATTGAGAGGGTTTAGTGCCGGCTGACTTTTTCGCCTTGGTTTTGGTTTCAGCAGCCGAGGGTAGACGGTTGGCTAAGGTCGCCTTGTGAGCGTGAACAGGCCCGCGCCGGGGGCCAGTACCCAACCGCAGTGCAGAGGCAGTGCGCACTCACTGTCTCTGCATAGACCCTCTCAGTTTTGGCCTGGCCTTGGTTTGGGCCTCGCCTTTTCAGTGCAAACACCGCTTGCACAGCTCTGTTAGTTAGGCGCGGATCGTGCAGAGCCTCGCGGCGGATCCCTCCGAGTTGAGGTTTCTCTCGGCAGACAGGGGGCCAGTGGTCACTCTGCTGCTCGAGCCTTTTAGCCAAGGCAGTTTGCTTCCACTGCCCGTTACTGGGGTGGAGTTGGCTGGCAGAGGTAGCCGAGTGCCCAGAGCTGCTGCGGCATGGGTGCTCTGGCCTTTGTTAGTAAGAGCGAGAACGCAAGGGCCACCTCAGTTGCCGCCCAGCTTCCAACCCAAGCTCGTGAGTCTTAGGTTCCCTGCTCCAAGCCTTGGGGGGTTCTCCTCCCTACCGAGCAGCGGGGCACGGCCAGCTCACCTAAAGCTCTCCACAACTAGGGGGTCTGGCCCACCCTGGAGAAAGCGGCCCTTGCTGGTCTTGGTTCTCCCTGGGAGGGACTGGCTTCCTAGAACCCCCCTAGTGGTGGGAGGGAAAGGGCCTACAGGCTGAGTGAGCTGCTTCTTCAACCTCATTGGCAGGGACCGGGAGGTAGGACCTGTGTTAGGACCTGAAGTAGTTCCCTCCGCGTACCTCACCAGCAAGAACTGGGAGGTCGGGGGTCCTAGAGAGTAGGACCTAGCCTGAGCGCTCCTTAACACAAGGAAGCTGCTTCTTTGGCTGTCAGAGTACAGCTTTCAGACTTGCCCTCACGGGCCGCGACTCTGTGCGCAAGACCGAGAACACTACACATTATTCTGACCCCTGTGTTGTAGGTTTTGTTCGGCGGCCGCTGTAAACTGCCATTACCATTTGCTTGTCGGTGGTTTCGGGGCTCTACACAGGCTGGGTTTTACGCGCCGAGGACGGCCGACGATCTAATGCTGTGATCTTGGGCATGATTGGGCTCAGTAGTGTGTGATTCGTTGAACTTGTCCTGCGCGGTTATCTTCCTAGCTGTTGTTGTTTTGCTTGCGTCCCGTCTGTCTTCCTGATGGACTTAGTGTGGTCATCAGGCCTGGGGTGGAAAACATCATTGCCGTTGAGACAGCAGTGATTGTCGTACTTGCACAACTTTCTTCATTCATACGGGAATTTCCGACAAAATGAGACCCCAGCATAGAAACTCCTTATGATGGAATCCTGACTTTAAGGACACCCCCCCAAAAGCTGGTCACTTCCCCCCACAAGCTCCGCTGGCTTTTCTGAAGTTCGCATGTGTTGCCATTTTCACTGTAATTATCTGCCCTAAAGAGCTGCAATATGAGCTGGCCGGCACGAGCCGCGATCTAAAAAAAGGGTTTGCAAACCCTCTTCTACTTCAGAAGTCCCTGGGTGACCATTTTATATCATGCTCCAAATCCCTACTCTAGTCATTGATGCCCCTATGGCAGACTCGGAAGTGCAATCCGAACTCTTAGCGACGCCAGTCCTTGATTCCGGTGCTACATCCCTTGCACCCCAGGGTTAGGTACCGGATTTAGGGTTTAGGGTGCTACATCCTTAAAACTTCATTAAGCATGAAACGGGCTCTCAAAGCATGATAGGAACTCAAGGGGACGCCTCTCTTTATTCACCGTCTTCGCCGCAACTGTCAGGTACGAGCTGATGCGCCCCTGAGCAAAGAATACGTCTTGTAGCGTAGTGTGCAGTCCGATCTAGCGGGAGTGATGAGATGTTGGGTTCCTCCATGACTCGAACGGTTCAGGGCGTAGTGAGAGTTTGATGCTCGATAGAGGCTAGTTTGAACTGAAGAGCGGTAAATGGGGGCTCCAGGCAGTGGTTCCGATCATCAGTATGATGTGTTGGTCGAAACTGGTTTTTGGTTTGCAGCACTGCCCACAGGACGCTAGTCACTCCCTGCAGCCGAACCAAAGAAAAAGTCTCGTGCTGAGGTTTCCCAGTTGAGTCCACACGTATAGGAGGTTCGCACTCGGCAAGGACTCACGCTAGCGGATCGGTGCAACAGCGTCCAGATAGAAAGGTTTAGCGGACATATAGGTTTCAAAGGTATTGATGCGTAGGGCGTAGGTTGCTGCAGAGGCCGACCGATACAGAACAAGTTTTCGGTGTATGTTTTCACTCGATCGTGCGGCATGCAGCCAACTGCTGCCCCGGAACGCAAAGTGTACACGCACCTACCACGCACATGCTTTTCGATACAAAGACAACAGTCGCATACATCACAGTATGCATGCGTACATACTATGTATGCATTCATGTACATCAAACTTTATTTGGAAGTCCAAAGAAGTACATCTTTGTCTCGATGTATGTATGCGTACGTGCACGCACAGATACAAATGATACCATCATCTGAGTATGCGCAGGTATATAGGTAGCTAAATGTATGCATAAAGACTTGAATCGATATAAAATTGAAATTCATGCACACGTACATATATATATATATATATACACACATATGTATATAATATACACATATATGTATACAATATACACATGTATGTATGTACGCATGCATGTAGGTATGTTTGTATGTATGTAGGCAGGAGTATCTAGATGTACACTTGTATACGTGCAGGTGTACATATATATATATATATATGTCTGTGTGTGTGAATGTGCATGCATGGATAGACACATGCAGGGGCAGTCGGACGGACGAAGAGATGAAGGGATGGATGAATGGATTAATGCTTGGATGGTTGGATGGATGGATGGATGAATGTATGAATGGATGGATGGATGGATGGATGGATAAGCTCGTACACGAGCTTGCCGAATGGAGCACACATCTTGAGCTTGAGTTCGCTCTTACCCTGGAAGCGTTCAAGCAACCAGACATGAGGGAGTTGCTGTCAATCAGCTTCGCATGAAGCCTAGACTAGCCCAAGATTTTAGACCTAGCTCTGCCAGAAGCTCTTTGTCCTAAAATCGTCCGCGTTGGTGACACTTTGCCGCCATGGCGCTTCTTGCCGAAGCTGGCGTCGGGGAACCCGGGAGCCACGGAGATTTGTGCGAATTTCCTGGCTGTTGGGCTTCGGGATGTTTGTCTTGAGGAGCTGGCCCTAATTAGCAGATTCCGCATGAACTCGACGCAAGCGACTCCCCGTAAGGTGCGCGAAGCTGTCGAGAACTCCAAGCAAAAGTATAGGAAAGTATCCCGCCAGCAGAAGCTGGGTAAGTTGGGCCCTTGCTGTCTATTAAGGAGGCAGGGCGTTCAGGGCTTCGGGGGCTGCAAGTGTTCAGGGGCTCGATGGACGAATGAGCCGTAAACCACCCCGGAACATGCGAAACAGCAACCCCCTAACCCTAAACCCTATAAGCCTTAAACCTTACACCCGAAACCCACAACCTGGATGCCTTGCGGCGAAAAGACACGAGGGTTCAAAATAAACCCAAAACCTCAAACCTTTAACCCGAAACCTTAAACTTGCAACCTCAAACCCTAAGCCCTGAACCTCGAAGTGTCTGAACCCTGGAACTCTCAGCATCTTGGCGAGGCATTTGCTTTGGGTGCTGCGCCGCCAGTGTTGCCCAGTGCCAGGTGTTTACTATGTCTGTGCTGTACTTTCTTTACTACACTATGCTATACTATACTGTAATATACCATCCTGCACTATACTGTGCTGTACTGTTTTGCTATGCTGCGTAGACTGTGACTACACTATGCTATTTGGGATTGTTTCGAGTTTGGACTTCAGCCTTCTGCGGTGTGTCTAGGCGTTTAAAGAAGACAGTAGTTTGAAGGATGACGGCTTGCGGAGGGCTCGAGCGATGTTTTCTCCCTTAGTGGTCGCGAGGTGTGAGTTTGAGCTTCAGGGTCTTGCTTGGGTTGTTGGTTCCGAAGACTCCACTGTGTTTAGCTTGTTCGGGGCCGTCACGAAAGATCTTGGGCGATAGAGCCTAAACACCGATGAACGAGGGAGCAATTGGGTTTAACACTCAGAGGAGCATAGACATTCAGGGAATCGGGGTTTGTCGGGTTGTCATCGCTAGGCTCAACCCACGTATACCTCCAAAACCTCTATGAAGCCTTCTAACCCCCGTTATACTTTAGGGCTCGGCGTGATCCGAAACCCGAAACTTAAGCCAACACACGCGAAACTGTAAACCAGCCCTCGAAGTCTACTATACCGTATTATTACTGTACTGTTTATTGTGTTATACAACATTTTCCTATATTGCCTTATTAATTATATATGTTGAATGTGTAACATTATAACATATTACGATCTTGCTTTATATCGTTCGTCGCCTGGTCTGGCAGGCTCACCTCTGCACCTCCTCGGTCAGTCCATGAGACCACCGAGCGAGGCATTTGAGAGCTTGTCCGCGTTCAAGCTGGAGCCCAATACATATGTAAATATGAACCAAATGAGCATATCTGGTTCTGTGGTTTCTGAGGAAGATTTCTTGTGGGGGGAGGGGGGAGGTTCAGACCTGCGATCCTTCTAAACCATCATCACCACCATCACGATCATCATCATCAGGATCCTTCGCACACCCGCCTTGTAGAATTGTGCCAAAGTCTAACTTCTTGCAGGGTAGCATTTCGCAACACGTATTCTCCGGCACCTCCGACCGAAGCGCTCCCTGAAACTGTGAACTGAAGAGGTTTGATCTGCCAAAGACACAACTGCGAAGAATTTAGGACACGCTACAGCTTTAACCAGCCAGACTGGCCCTAGGGTCCACGCACCCAAATAAAGCCTGTGTTCAGCTCGCCGGAAAGTTGCCCTGTAGGGCCTTCTAGACATGAGATCAGGGGTTCAGGTTTTATCCATGCAAACTAGACCCGACACCGTTTATGGCCGACGCCCATTCATCGCTCCTCCCCAGCCGAAGCCTCAGACCAAGCCCAGGCAAAACCAACTTGCACGCAAAGACGAACCTCAAAACCCACGATGATCCACTTACCAATCCCTATCATGTCACTGTGAAGTTGTTCTCTGTGTTTCGGAGCCGTGAAATCAGCCCACATGCTATACAAGAAATACGTGAGCTGTTAAGGTTGAAGCAGGCGATATGCTCCGGAAAGTCAAGAGTGTGCGTAGTTCTGTTGGTCTGATTCCCGCATGCGCGGCTGCGCCCGACCGGAGAAAGGCCCACCAACCCTTCCGGCTCTGGTCTGAATCCGGACCCGGATTCTCAAACCCCAACAGCCCTCGTCAGGGCCTGATGAAAGTGGCTGGTGCCTATACAGCCCCCATTGAAGATCCTTACTATAGAACCCTTAGGCGCAAAACCCTTGTAGAACCCTTAGCCTTAGACCCTTCTCTAAGCGACTGTTGCGTAGGTTCGTCCGGGGCTTTGGCAGCGGCAGCAGCTCTCGTTGCTACCGGAGTAGCGGTGAAGAGGCCATGGACTTCGGGCTTAGGCTGAGAGGTTTCTTCGTTTAGGGGTTGAGGGTTTTGTGGGGCTTCGAGATTCACGGATGAAGGCTTGGATCAGATTCCTCGTCTCGGGCTGATGCATGGCCTTTGTGTGGCCTTCGTTGCAAAGGCTTCACATTGGACAAGGAGACTTTCAATGCTTGTGCAGTTCAGGAAGAGGCGCAAGATAAACTCGAAGGTCAAATTTATAGCCGTTGAAGTCTTCAACCCAAGTTAAATGCCCGAAACGCTAGATATTCTGAACCATAGGAATGTCGCTCCTTTGAACCACGCAAGTGACTTCTAGTGGCTCCTATAGTATCCTTTACGCGATATTGTCCAGTACCCCACGTAGGCTGTGGAGGTTCAGGCTAATTGAGGTTAAGGGTTCAGGGTTCAGGTTATCTGTTTAGGATTCAGGTCGTCCTAGATTTTCCCGACAACCAGTCCCAAAGAAGATAGAATGTGAAGACGTGAGCGGATTTGCTCATGCTATCTCATGCTCTGGCACCTCAGTTTCGGGATCAGGGTTTAGGGATCTACATTGGCCCAACCCTAAACCTTCAACCCCTACCCCACCCTAAACCCTAAACCCAACCCCTAGACCATTTTCAAAACAGCAAAAGTCCCGGCCCTGGCATTCCAAAAGCTCTCCCCGGGTACAGGCGGCCCGCAGAAGCGCGCGCAGCTGCCGTGGCGATGAAGGTGGCGGTGGGTGTGGGTTTCTTTAAGGGGTGGTAAAAGGTAGTTACAAGGGGAAGGGCAAATAGGGGGGGTTCTACAGGGAATGCACAAGGCTTCTATAAAGTAGCTATCAGCTTCACATCTATGGGGATACTACAAGGTTCCCGGCGTTTGGGTTTAGGGGTTTCAGGCTTACGGAGTTCGCGCTCGAGGACTTCGGGTCTAGGGGTTTGGAGCTGTAGGGCTTCGGGGTCTTCGGGTTCACGGTTCCAGGATTTCGAGCTCTAGGAGTGTATTATATAGTGTTGCGCTTCAGGGTTTCAGGGCTCAGACGCGAAATCCTAAGCTCTGACTGCGATTCAGAGGAAATGCTTCTTGCCCAAACCTCCAGCGCTCACGGTGCTGCACTGTGTTCCCAGGCAGGAAGCATCCTAACAGCGTGTGGGATGGAGGACTCCCCCAAGCCACACTACGCATCCGATGCAGCCATACAGCTGCGGAATGAAATCCGTGAGAAGGTCAAGGCCCCCCAACCCCACACCTCCCAAATCCTATACCTCGGACCCTAACCGTAACCCCAATGATACGCCTCGGACCCTTAGCGCAGGTGGAGGCAACAGCGCTGACACGAAAAGTCGGGTCCGCCGTCTTGTCCCTGGGCCTGCTCAAGGTGGGAACTGGGAGTGGATGAGGGGCCCTTTAAATTCCCAAACCTTAGCTTCAAAACCCTCAGCGCTGTCATCGGCTCATCTGGTCATGGCTTGTATTAGTTTTCGGGGTTTGGTGCTGCGCATGGTTTACGGTGTAAGAGTTTAAAGAGTTAAGCTTCGGGCTTCTGAGGTTGGATTCGCGCGATCCCGAAGTTGTCCCTGCAATGCCCTGACATACAGCGTGTATACAGGTACTGTTGAAGTGCAGGTATTGTGGAGGTTAACAGTAGCATAGGATTAGGGCTTGAGCTTGGGGCGGCTTGGAGGCTTGGGTTGCTTGGGGTTTCCACGAAGTTTGACAGCGCGGGTTCTTCTATTGTATATAGTACATAAGATCTGTTTTTTAATTTGAGGGTCAGGCCGGCGGAGACGAGATGGGTTGAAAGTCATGCTGGAGTCATGTGAACCAGCGGAAGAAATAGGCGAGGAAGCAACGATTTCGGCAAGGTTTAGGAAGATCCGACCCTAAATCCATAGTTCCGAGCATAAATTCCCAACCATTGACCTTAAATCGCAACCGCCCACAGCCCCGATCCCCGAAATCCTACATCTCGGAGACGCCAAATGACCCAGACGCTAAACCTTGGGGTTTGCAAGCTCGTGACCGAACTGATTGCTTCTCCTCGTGGAGGTTGTGGCTTCGCGGATTCATGAATGGCGGCTAGGCTGATAGAATACATGTGTTGGTGCAAGATACGAGGACGACTATTGCTTCCGACATCACTGCTGCTTTTGCGATCACTGCTGCAATTTTCGTTTTCATGACCGTCTTCATACTTGTTTACGGGAGTAGCACTGTGGCACGATGGTCACCATTCTGTACCATAATCGTCCGCAGTTTTCCTGTTATTTTTTGCCATTCTGGGTATCGGCATTATGGTCTTAGGGTCGAGCTCTGCGTTGCAAAGTTAAGTTGTCATCGCATAGTTTCATGACCGTGCTGATGAGGAGATTCCCAAATGAATGGCCTGACTGATGGACAGCTAGATTCTTATCCCAGGTGTCACATTCAAGGCAGTTGCATACTTGAAGGTTCATGGCACTTGGCTAGCAGGTTCTGTGTAGGTTCTCAGGTAGTCTTACCTAAGCCCGCTGTCCCTGAAGAACCAGGTCGGCCCAGCAGCAATGATGAGGATGAGGCGAATTGTGACAACAAGGATGGCAACAGTCATCAGAAGCATCATAAGTATGGTCGGAGTACTGGAAAGAGCAGAAAGAGCGGAAACAAACAATAAGGAAAACGTATTTCCCGCCACTGCCACCACCACCAACAGCAGCCGAAGCAAAGACCAAACACAGAAGAAGGACGGGTGGTTTACGATGTTCCTGTCATTGGCTTTTACCCACTGGCAACCGTGTCTTTCAAACCCTTTCTCTTTAAAAATCGTTACTCTACCCCAAACCAACAATGGCCTGTGAGCCCGAAGCGAGTTCTGCTTACACACCCTAAACTGTGCAAGCTCAAGACACCCTAAGGTTTGAGACGCCAAAGCGGCCCTATGGCGATGGATCCGTGGGCAGCGCCTACGATGACTGGACCAGAGAAGGTGCCAGAACCTCAGCACCTTCTTGGAGGGAGCGCTGTCGAGTTGGGGAAGTTCAGGAGTTTCGGCCGTACGGAACAGGAAGAGTGTGTACGAGGTGTCGCGCTTGGAGAGCCGCCCTACTTGGGGCCACCGGGGAGTTAAACGCTGCGTTCTTTTTTAGACTTGCGGCTGTGTGCTGAGAGTAAAGCCGAGAAGATGAGGTCTTGGAGCACTACTGGGGGGAGCACATCCACATGGGCCATGCACTCAGCGCGACTGCCGCAGACGAAAGAAGGGTTTAGGGTTTACGGGTGTTGGGCTTGCAGTTCAGGGCTTAGGGCGTTGCATAGGGATTGGAGGTTCGAAGGATTGGGTGCCGGATGCCAATGGAGCGAGTTGACACTTCAACTTCTTTGACCCGATTAGCCAAGCCAAATTTGCTGATCCAAATTGCCCGGATGTCGCAGGCTCCTACACTCCGATGGAGAAGCAGAGTGGCTACCGCAAGAAGGCGAGCTTGGATACATACGGGATTCTGCTACACCGGGGGGATTTCATGTTAAGTGCTCATATGGCCCTGAGAAGGGGTCATTATATCTAAATCGCCATTTAAGGCCTTGGTGGGGTTTGGGATGTGGGTGCAATGATTACGACCTAAAACATCCTCAGTTAAAGCCCAAGGCCCAAGGCCCACCAAAGAAGCCTTTTGCGTAGGATCCCTTCTTCCTCGCACTCTTCCGGGCGACCTTCGGCCGGCTCAAGAACTTCAAGGAGGCCCGGTTGTAGTTGTTTCGCTTCAAGTCGAGCATTGCTACAGAATGTTACAGGGAGAAGTATTGTTGGGAAACGAGTAATTACATCTTTATTGTTGTTGCTTCAGGGTTGCAGGGTGTTGAGGGTTTAGGATTCCGTGTGGTAGGATTCAGTCAGCTTGGGTTTATGACTTAAACTTAGGGGTTTAGGAAGGTTGCGGGATTTTGCGTTTCAGGGTTGTGATGTTTAGCGTTTGAGGAGTGGTTCGGATTCTTGGCTCAGGGCTTCAGGAAAAAACCGGCACAGGCACACCCTACACAGAATCCCGTAAAGTGTTGCCCTGCGTCATCGGTTTGACATAATGTCAGGACCCCTGGAATGTAGCGATTAGACGAAGCACGGATGATCGGCAAAGCTGGCCGAGAAGCCGCTCAAGGAGCTACAGTTGAAACTATCCTGGGTGCTCGTGGATTGAGCACAAGGGCCAAATCCCAGTAGCTCCGCCACGATGTTGAAGGAAGGCATAGTGAATCTCCGCCTAAGCTACTATCACCAACTGCCCCTTTCACGTTTCCCAAGCGTGGCATAGAGTGGATCGCCCGAAGCGGCTGCTCAGTAGATTCTCTATCGTTCTGCATCGAAGTGTCCGCAATGTTGTACTTTGCAGCTTGCAGCTTCGGTGGGATTGGGTCGGTGTGTTGGAGTTCAGGGTTTGGGATTCGCTAAGCAGGCGGATGAAGCCCTCCCCGCCCCCACCGAAAAATGCAAATTAACTTCAAGGCCCTCGGTGCAGCGAGGTGGTCTTGATTCCGTGGCACCGGAATCACAACAGAACCCACACATCAACACTTCCTGCTATCTTCTTGCAGGCAAAGATAGACTTCACGAACGAAATGATCGACTGGAGCCGTGACTCGATCTTGAACAGCTAGCTTCCATGCCTGGCACATCTGCTTTTTGCACCGTCTTTAAAGTAACTCCAACATCGTCTAGAGGGCAGTGGCCTATGTTGGCTGTGCAGTCTACCACCCTAAACCCTGATGCCTAAGCCCAACACCCTAAACTGGAACCATACTTCCCTACACCGCCCCAACTCTAAAGCTTAAAAGAGTTATGTGCAGAGTCTCTAATTTAAACAGCAACTTATCGCTCTGGGCGAGAATGCTTAAGGAATGGTTCTTGTTTGCGAAGTTGAAAATCCTGAAAGCCTCCGCCCAAGGCTTTAGGGCTTCAACTACAAACTTCAGCTTCGAATCTGAAGAATCTGAACCCACCGAATCCCTTAACCCCGAACGAAGGTGTTTGACTACCAAGCCTGAACCCTGGATACCCAGGTGCGACAGCACCGAAGAAGATCTTGGACGTAGGCGCGGAAGGATCAGGACTGAAGTTTAAAAGGCTAAGAAGGATTTTTGGGTTCAAGTTTCCGGTTCTCGTTTCGCCTGCTTCGCCGTCGCGGGCTGCGCGAGTGGCTTGTGTGCCGAATGATGCTAACGGGCCACTTTGAAATGGGATTCCAAGTGTCGCCAGGCATCCCAGGATGTGAGCTGCTGCGATACGTCCTGGTTGGAGCACAACCAAAATAGAATACAATATGACATTATGACACCGCACTATAATATCATATAAGAGAAGGCAGTTGGCAAGATTTCACGCTGAGACAGTTTTCCCGTGAAGCTGAGTACTTTGTACGTGCACCGAGACAACCGAGCAATGTTACGTGTGCATGACCGGTTAAGGTTTAAGGTTTAGGGTTTGGGCGTTAGGGCTCAGGGCTTGCTGTAGGGTTGAAAAGTCTTGCAGCCTGGAGGACTACAAACCTAGGCTCCGCACTTACTGTATATGTCGAGAACTCCATGTGTGGTCAAGCGCGAAGCAGCGGAACTTCGCAGGGTTGTGGAGTGGTCACAACCTCGCGCCAGAACCTGCTAGCAACAATGCATAATTTGCAGAAAACTGCTACCCAGTACCGTGTAAACAGTGTTCAGTGTTATGATAAGCTTAGGATCCCAACCCGGACAGAGCCGTGGGGCCCTTGTTTGGCGAATTCGCAACCCTACTGCCGGCACACTTTAGGACCTCAGCAGGGCTCTGTTGGTACCCTAAATAGAAGGATCCTGATTAAAAGGACCCCAAAATAAGGTACCCCCAATTTCGGAAACTCCCACATGTCCCCAGACTGCTACGCACCAGCTGCCTGGCCGGGCCGCTGCCGTAGTTCAAAATCCCAAAAGCATCTCTAAGTCATAGGAGCCCAAAAGGGGCTTTAGCCTATGGGGGTTTAGTAGGGATTATTAGGGTTCCCACAATAGGGTTCATATTAAGGAATCCCTACCCCAAGAGTCTTAAACCCCCCTTTTGGCCTCCCATCACTGAGTCACCAAGAAACCCAAACCAAGCGCCCCGAAAGCACCCCAAACGACGACAGCCTGCGAGGCTGCGGCATCGGTGGCTCCTCCAGGACTGAGGGGTGCACCTTCAGGCTGTAGCTGCTAGATTAGGCTTCAGGTGCGAGCTTCAGGAGTTCAATCGTTCCGTATTCCAGGGTTTTGGGTCTGCCAGGGATCTGGAGCTGAGGGTTTAAGATCCTAAGCTTTAGGCTCTCAGAAGCCGCTCGTCCTTGGAGAAGGATCCTCGGCAAGCGGTTCCCAGACGCCGAGGTGGGAGTTGGTTTCTGGATTGTGCATCTCATGCCGGCTTCAGGGGCAAGATGTGTGTTTCTGAGTCGGTACTGAAGCCCGCCGGCAATCTGGAGCTTCCTCGCGCCGACATTTTCGCTCGCAATGTCGATATTGGGGTTGTTGGGCATGCTACTGGGAAACTCTAACAAGATCATTCAGCTTCGAAACCCCGTTCAACAAGTACCAGCACCGGCTACTTCGACTGTTGCCGGGCATCAATCAGAGTTTCGGTTTGTGAAATTCGGATGCGCATTCTGGTGTCTGTTGCAGCCGTTCGGTTTTCGGAGCGCTCGATAGCTTGCATCCTGATCTGCTTTCGCGATGGCACGGCTCACGAAGACGGTAGCGGTGACTCTCATGGCCATGCTCGCTGCAGTCCTCCAGGGCTGTGGATGCGACACGAGCAACCTTGCCAGCTGCACCAGCAGCGCATCTGGCTGTGACGGACTGACCACCTACATGAACTGCGTGAAAGATGCCGGCTGCTGCGATTACGAATCCGGTGGGGCCAAGGTCAAGGATGGCTTCGAAGCGATGGTGGCCTTGGTGAATCTCGTGCCAGGAAATGACTGCACCTTGAACAGCCCTTGCTAAGCCGATCGGCCACAAGCGTGCTGGGGTGTGCAGGCTGCAGGATAGCCGTCACATGTGTAGACCTGTAGACACTTGAATCCTCTCAAGCTGTCCTGCGGTCCTTTGCATCACTAGCACGACCAAGCGTGATGCCGTGGTGTCGCAATGCTCGGCACCGCGTCCATGCAATGCAGCCCTTGTGATTTCAGCACTGGGTGAGGGGGGAACGATAAAAAGAGACCCCGTGCTGTTCACGCAGCAGCATCGATCGGTAAGTATCCATGATAGTAACTACCCTAAGGCCCCAAAGTAGTTCCTTTTTGGGGCTCACATCTATAATCCCATAAGGTAATCCCGAAAAGGAACTACTTCGCGGCCTATGGGTAGAGAACACGACAAGGTTTTCTGCCTTCGGCTTAGGGTAAACCGGGCAGGCTTGGCCGACTTTAGCGGCACTCTGATTCAGTGAGGACCAACATGAGATGTTTTGTCAAGAACCCGCTCGCCCAGAACGGCCGCCCACAGTTCGTCAAATCCCAACCCTAAACCCCAAAACCTTCCCAAAGCCCTAGACCCTCCGCCCTGAAACCCTAAACCAAAAAAACCTAAACCCTAAGCCCTAAAACCCTAAACCCTCAAGCCCAACACCCAAAAACCCAAAGCCTAAAACGGGAAGCCTCAAGTTCCGCTTAGGGTTTGGGGGAGTAGGGTTTTAGGATTCGGGGCTGAAGGGGTTAGGGTTTAAGGTTTAGTCGTTCGTTTAGGGTTTTGGGCTTCTTTTGGGTTCAGGGTTTCAGGGTTTAGGAGAGTTTGCTCGCAGGTCCTCGGTATCACGCTGTCGCCACAGCAGGCGCCTGCAGTGGGGATGCTTCTTTAGAATCCCCCCAAGCCTTGTCTTGTCGAAGTTCTAGGCTTGTTGGGGTTTTACGGCTTTCAGGTTTTGGAGCTTCGGGCTTTAGGGTTTAGGTTTCAGGGCATTTTAGGGTGTATTTAGGTTCAGCTCAGAGCATTTCATGGGAGGTATAGCGTGCAGGCCCGGCCCCCGAAATCCCAGCAAGTCACAAGCCCGAGACCTATGCCCCCAAAGCCCACGAGGAACCCGTATCGTCGCCCCCATGGCAACCCTTAAGAACCCTTATTGGAGGATCCCTCAAATGAATCCTTCGAGGACTGCTCAAGGAAGCTCTTAAAAGAGCCTTAAGCCCCAAAAAGGCCTCGCTCTCCGGAGCTCCTTGACCCTTTCCAAGGCCGAGCGGGCTGGAAAACTTGCAAAGGAGCAAGGGCTCACCAACGTCCGATTCCAGGCAGTTGAGCAGTGTTTAGGGTCCAGGCCTTTACAGGAAGAGGGTTTCAGGAAGTTTTCAGGCGTAGTTAGGCTTGAGGGGTTAGAGGACAGAGTTGCAAAGAGTGTTGTTTTGAGAAGTGGTAGGGCCAAGGCGTTTACCGGGTTTTAAAGGTTTACGGTGTAGCTTTCGGACTTTAGGAGTTCAGGCTTGCAAACCATTTCATTTGTTACAGTATCGTTTACAGTAGTGTCTAGGGGGCTTAACGGTTTAGCGAGTAGTTTTCAGGATTTTGAGTGTTGGGAGGGGGTCAGGGTTCTCTCCGAAGTCTCGAGTCCGGACTCTGATCATGCGCTCATCTCTGGGGACACGAAGAGTTCTATAAGGGCATCGAAACGATACTCAGGTACTGCACCGGTACTATACACCTCCAGGTCCTTGCTTCTCCTATCAGATCAACTTCGAACATCGGAAGCGGTTCGCTTTTCATAGGCCCGTCGGTGCTTCGAGGCAAGACCACCCAACTCGCATTTACCAGCCAGTACAAGTGGGTGTCCGGTAGTATGACCAAGCGCTCCTTGGCGCTTTTCCTGCCGGGAGCGTTTCCTGACAGGCTCTCGGGCTGAGGGCTTATATGGTTCGCAAGCCCCGAAAGCCAAACCCTAAGCCCTAAAGCCTCGATTGCGTCCTGCTGTCCATGGGCGCAGGTGATGGACGCACTGAACATGGAGCCCAGTGCTCAGAGGAACTCAGGCTTGCAGGATTCAGGGTGGGGGTTCAGGGGTTTTTGGGGAGTTTCGGGATTCAATATCTCTCAGGCTAAACAACGCATTTAGGGGACAGTCGACTAAACGTCGCCCTGCTGCATCTTTTACTACTTCCTTTCCTGCTCATAATAAAGCACCTCCCGCACTTTCAAGTGCCTTTCGTATTACTCCCTTACCTTTGCCTTTCTTCATCTGCCTCCATTCTTCCATCCTGCTTTGTAAAAGCTGGTCATTGACTTCGTCCGCCCGTTTGCCCGTCACCATCAACCTTTCAACATAATCTAATGAATAATCCTTTTTAGTTGGCATTGAGCCTTGATTTGAGTACCTAGTTTTGAGCTAGCTTCACAATATGACACATGCATGCGTTCCTTCCCTACCAAGGTCAGTACGAGATTGTTCCCGTGCTAGTGTCAACAACAGCTTTAGCCGAGTGCCAGAAGAATTGACACAGCAAAATACCTGTAGAGATACTGCAGCTACACCCTAAACCTCATGCCTTGAGTCAGGAATCTTATCTGGCTGAATCCTGCATCCTTTGCGCCCCTGGGCCCTGAGCACGAAACCCCGAACCTCGAGCTCCCATTAACACGCTTGGGAGTTGGAGCTTAGGGTGCAGGAGGACAAGGCCCCTGTACAGGGTATCGGAATGCTCTGCAAGGTTGAGTTCGGAGAGAAGTGGAAATCAAAGGTTAACATCAGGTATCAACTCTTGCAGCTATCCACCAATAGGACTATCCCCACCCCTACCCGTTCCTTAGTAGCTATGTCGAACTGGGTCCTTACTCCAGAATCACTCAAAAAGGTTCGAAGACAACACCTTCGACATGGTTTGGGCCTGCGAGTCGGGTGAGCACATGCCAGACAAGAAGAGGCACTCGCCAGCAACCGTTGTGTCTCGAGGGTTAAGGAATTGTGGTTCATGATGCCTCATGATCATATGAAACGGCTAGGCTTGACACGCATGTCTCTTCAGATACTGGAGGAGCTGCGGGTTCAACACCACAAGAGGGCTTGCTTGCTTCCATCATCTCTGACATCTCTTGGGTTGAACAACATGGGAAACAACATCGCATTTCACAAAAATTTCGTCGAAGGATGCCGTCAACAAGCCAGCCGCAAGAGGTTGCTTTGATCTCTGTGCCCCCTTGAGTGGGCTACGTCCAGCATGGATTTTTCTTCGACGTCGAAGTCGGCTTCCACATGGCACGGTGATGGACATCTCCGACCATGCACCGTCATCGCAGATGTCCATGCCTGTACCATGTGATCATTCACAAGTTACTTCAGTCGCCGGCAGGAGATGTGGCTCTAAACAGGGAGAGGGAGCTGGAGCCGTAAGATGTTCGGTGACTTCGGCTGTGACATTGACGACAGGCTGCAAAAACTGGACAGAACACCCCGCGAAGAACTGACGTCCCACCTTTTTCCATGCATTCATACAACTTGCTGAAATCCCCAATTCCGAACAAAAATGTTAAACCGGAAGCAGGTACGTCGAGGAGATGTCTCGCGTTCTTGCGCCAAAGGGTGGCTTGGCTGAAAGCAAGAGTATGGTATGTTTTCGGTTCAGAGTTTGGGTTTTCGGGTGCATTCTTCGGGGCTTAGGCAGAAGACTGGCTCTTGTGGGTTGCAGTCTGTTGTCAGGTCTTTATAAATGTGGGTCGAGTCTGCGGGCCCAGTTTCCACAGGGCTTGACAGTAGATGAACTTTGTTCCAGGCCTCAATATGAATCTACGCCTTAAGTAGCATCCTAAACTCTGAGGTCCTTGCGCTCTGCATAGGCGATACGGGCGATAATTACCTCCTCCTTCGTAGGAGGATTTGGGGTTTGGGTTGTAGGCTTCCATGAGTCAAACGTTAGCAGGAGTACATGGGGCTTGAAATAACAGGGGTTCGATAAGAAGGGTTCTGCAAGGCTTTTTAGGTTCAGGGTTCCTAAACCCTAAACCAGGATTTTTTTCGGTGTCGTCCGTCGGCTCTTGAGGAACAGAAGCCAGTCTCAGGCAACATGGTGGTGGCCACGTGGTGTGAGAGGGATCCGGCCGGGGGCCTGGTGTGTATAGGGGGTGATTTGGCGGCTACTATTTCCGGCTGCAGGGATTTAGCACTTCAGGGGTGCTGGGAGTGTTGAGGTTTCCGACATTCCTGCATTTTATAAGCTTCGAACGTGCTCGCCTTTCCCTGATTCGTGTTTCGGATTCGAGTTCGCATATACCGGTATAAAGTACCCTGGCAGACTCCAGCATCAGACATCTCGTGGCAGGAAGCAGCTTAGCTTTCTGTGGCTGTGTTTGCGAGTATGAGTAGTGTCTTGGGATTCAAAGCCTTGGGGCCTCTGCCTATAGGCGGGGAAGCATCGAGCTTGCTTTGTGTAGACATGTCCAGGATGCCGGCAAGGGGTGTCCTGGCGAGGATTTTATAATCAGTCTTTTTTAAGAGCTCGGGACCGTCGATTACATCGGCGCGACACTATGCAGATACTCGACACCTCTCTTGCGCAAGGTGTCTTCATGCCGGCCCGAATCTGTATGAAAAGGCTTGGCCTACCTGTAGTTCCTGAATTCCTAAAGCCCTTCGCCCCCCTTACAAAGACTCCCAAGCTCTTCCTGGAGACTCCAGGTTCCCATGTTCACGGCCGAAGAGAGGAAGACCCTGAACTTCCTCTACGCGGAGCGACTCTCCTGGGCCGTTGAGCAAGGGGGGAGGGGGTTCCACCCTCTGATACGTCTTTCAAGGAATCCATTAAGCACAGCATATTATGGAAAGCCGCGTTTTCAGTGGGTGTTAGGTCGGGATCCTGATATCGAGACGAACGAGGTGTGGTCACGTGACAACGGCATGATGTTTCATGTTGGGTGCACGTGCCAACATCTTGGGGCTAGCTCTGTGGTTACGGGAAAACTGTAGGTGACCAAGTGGAATCCCTCTTCTCACAGCTCAGTCGGATAGAAAGGGAGCGCCCTCAGAAGTTTGAAGCTAGCTTAGGAACATCAGACCGGTCAACCTGAGTGTTTCTGACCACGCCTTAGGTCTGGAGTTACCCACGGAAACGCTTTGCTTATGTGTGCGTCCGCGGCAGGAGTGGACCCACCCGTATTTCATCTCCCTCAACAAGTACAAGGAGCCCTTGCCACATGTGCGGGTTTCATGCCGTAGTTTCGCAGTCCTCCCACGCCACACCACTTCTCGAAAGTCCAGCCTTGTAGGCTCTCTTCTGGCAGCCCGGGTGTGGGGGTTTCGGGATGTACTGTAGGGTTCAAGTTTTTTCGGCAGGGGTTAAGGGAAGAACCTTAAACCTTAAACCCCAGACCCAGAAGCCACGTGGAGCTTCCCAGAATGCAGTCCCTTTTGACTGGGTCTCATGGAGCGGGAGCTATTGGACGTAAGATGAAGTAGCCCGTTAGCAGAAGTGCTTTAGATGTCTTGATGGGCCCTCCCAAACTGCCAAATCCCAGATCTGATCCGAGGCTGACTGTAAGACTTAAGACTCAGCCTTCACAGCCAGGCATTTCTAGTAGACAGCATGAGGCCCAAACCCCAATCCGTAGCTGTAAGTAGCTGCAACAGTCACTATCATTGTGATAGTTACTCTTCCCATTGTTAGTGCTGCTAAGTTTTTGTTGTTCAGGTGTGTCGTTATCGTTGGTGGTGTTGTTAGTTGTTGTTGCTGTTGCTGCTGCCGTTGTTAGCTGTGCGAAGCATCCTGTCGCACGAAGGAGTATATGGAAGGAACAGAGCTGCTGGAGCAGGCCGACGGAGGGGGGGGTCGTGTGACCCCGACCAAACCCAGCTCCGGACCAGCACCCTGAACCCAGGCCGTGCTGTATTTAGGGTCCCGACTTTGAGGCTTCAGTAGGGCCCGCTACCAGCCTTCCATGGTGCTGTTTTCCGAAAATGCGTCCATGCCAGTTGCTAGCTCCTTTTTGTAGGTGACCTCCAGTCGCCCAGTCCAGCCTTGCTCTGGTAACTCTGGAAGTTCGAGGTTGCTTCCGTAGGTTCGGGGATACGCGCACTGCTAACCTCTTGTCGCCATAACTCCAAACCGAGTATCAGTGGGTTCCCAATGCGCTTAGTCGCTAGCTTGGGCTGGAAAACCTTTGTAGCACATGTATATAATCACGCTTTGTACAGAACCCTGGCAAGGCCTTTCGCACCACTGGGGAACACTTGAAGATTAATTGCAGACTGCTTGCAAAGTTCTAGACCTAGTTCAGTGTGGCCCAACTTTCAAGATTCACGAGGTCGACACAGCAGATTGGACAGAGCAGACGCTGCCAGCGTGGCGCCACTCCGTGTGGGTGCCGCCCCAAGGGCCAATCGCGAACTTAAAGTCGCCACCAAAAATACCTGAAACAAGTAATAAGTAATGTTGGCAGTCGTCATAATCATGACCATGACAGCCGCTATCATCATGATGATGGCAGAATTCCACTCAACCTCGAGCCTGGGTTTACTTCAAACCCATATGTCGGCTCGGGCTCAGGGGCTTTGGGGGTTGCTTTGGAAAGATGCTTCGAGACTTGTTCGTTGCCTTTCAAGGCGGCACCTTAACCTTAAAATCCACGCCCCAATCCCGAACCCTAATACTCAAACCCCCTTCCCAACACTCTCAGACGCCTTAAAGCCACTACACCCGAAGCCCAAATTGTCCGACCAACCTGGCCGACTCAAATCTCGGTCTAGAGACGGAAGCTCCGGGCAGAAACTCCAATCAAGTTCGAACAGGGTTTGGGGCTTGAGAAGTTTAGGGGAAAATATACGGGCCTTAGTAGTTAGAATAGGGTCTTACTATAATACTATAACTAAAATAAGGAACACCCAAAATAGAATTGGTATATTTTGGGCCCCTATAGTAGCGGCCTTGCAAGCCCACTTGCGACTGCCCGAAACCCTAGGAAGGACCTTAATCCGTACCTTGTGGAGGTCGGGGTCTGGTCGCCATGGTACTGGCTGAAGGTCACTTTCAGGCGCCTTCGGTTCCCGGCGAGCTCCCCAAAACCTGACCCGAAACCCAGACCTGAAAACCCCCAACTCGCAGTCCTGCGCATCGCTACACCCATTGACCCCAAACTCCAGACTCTATATTTTTCAAAACCTTAGATCCTATAGCCCTGAACCCGGTGCTCTAATACAGGGGCCTTGTAAATCGAGTAGGCTTTAGGATGCATCAGAGTATGATTATGTAGGGCTCGCTAGGGGGTTGTTGCAACATCAAGTCAGTTCAAAGGCCAGCACCCCCGTGCCCGAATCCCCGAGAAGCTTTTGGCAGGATTTTGGTTTTTGTGCCCATGATGCACTGCAAGTGTTGAGGTTTAGTGCAGCGTTTAAGGGTAAGGGGGTATGCGCAGGGCTAAGGGTGCGGGTGTAGGGCTTAGTGGAGAGGGGCTCCAGTTTAGGAAACAAGCGTATTAGGAAGTAGGCAGGAAGCGGGCCTTACAGTGTCACCCGGTTTCATCATTCGTGACTCAGTATGCCGGAATCTCGCCTGCGTGCTTGACTTATGTCAATATGCTTTGGTGGAACCCTCGGGACTTTGTCTAGACGTTTAAAGCTGGGTCTCGACATTTAGTAGAGCGAACTGTCTTCCCGTTTGGATCCAGTCGCGATGCTACGCTCGTCTCACACACATGCCAACGCCTGTGCTTGGCTTACTTCGGGCTTGCAGAACTCTCAACCCTGCAAACCCTACGACACCTATATCCTTTTTCAAAAGGTCGGCAAACGACCAATCTAACCCGCTAAAAGTCTTACGAACACCCTTACAAAGAAAAAGAGTTTAAAACCTGCTAAACCTAGAAAAAGCTGTTTCGGCAGCTTGTACCATAAACCCTAAGCCTTGAATTTCCCTTTGCAGGAAGGGCCCCGGTGCCTTTGTGGGATTCCTGCGCGAGGCTGGGGCGGAGGGTTTGGGGTTTTAGGGTTTGGGGTGCGGCTTGTTTCCTTGGGCTGCAATGGGGTTTAGGGCTTATCTGCTGTTGATTTCGAGTACGTCTTTTGGAGAGGGTTTGGGGTTTTCTATATGGAGAAGTAGTTTTCGTAGCGGTGTGTATCCTCCCATGACCTCTACTAAAGCTTACCCTACGGAGTTGAATGAACATGAAACAACTTCTCACAACCCAATCCTGAAAGAACCTCCTTGGCAGCTCTCGCATTGCGGCACACGCAGTGTAAAATGGCAAGAAGCCCACGATGTCAAGGGGTGTGTGTTTTGTGTGTTTAGCGAACAAGGTTTCAGTTGGGTTTGCGGGTTTCCCGAGGCCCATCTGCACGAAGTATTCACCATTCCGGATCCAGCCAACAGGGTCGCGTTTGCCGGATCTCGAAAGTTTACTTAAGTAGAAGATATGGCATCAAACATAGTTGAAGCCTTGCAGCCGAACCCCATTGGCCCTCTTCGACCTACACCCCTCGGGATACAACGAGGTCTACACCTTGGAGAAATTCCACAAGTCGATGGTGAGTGGCCTCATGGTCTACGGCATGATGCGCGCCGTGAAGAAGTAGCTTGATCCAGGAGATGGTCACACCTGCTCACGGCCTGAACCCGTAGACAAGTCTACACGCTAAATGCGATGGTTTGGGCATGTCGCTTCCGGATTCAGGATGAAAGGTCCAGGGTCCTGAACCTTAGCGGCAAAACGTAATCTGTGCACGGAGCTGCTGACAGGCCCACATCTAGACTCTTTAAGCCCCTACACCTTAAGCAATCAACATGTTGCAGATCCAAGTGCTCTCATCCTGGCCCCTGAATGGGGGCAATTTTCGCTCCGGGTGTCTTTCTCGATGTGCGTCGGCAATATTTCCGACTGCCCATGATGCATCCGATGAATTCTCGACCCTCTTGGTTTGTTGGCTTCTAGCTGGTGTATTCGGGTTGTCTACAGAGTAAATGCTGAAGATTGTGTTTCAGGATGTACAGGGATCCGTGTCCTCACATATCAATGCTACCAAACATTCCGGTTCCGAGCTGCTCTAAGCAGCCTTTCTTCGATTTTCGCCTGGAGAAAGTTTTCTGACCGCCAGTGGAAAACGAAAAGAATCTCACACACGCCAGGCATCCCGAGGGGCACACGGCCGGGGTTCAAGGTTCTCTCGCAGTATCGTCAAAGACCGCAACCTTGTCCAGCTATACCTGCAGAAGTGCCCATCACAGGAATATCGCGAGGCCCCTCGAAATTGATTGATAAGAACTTTCATCCAAATATATGTACATATATACAAATACATAGAGGTTAGGGGCTGCCTCTGGTAGTAATTAGCATGCTCTTTTGAGAACCATTGAGTCTGTGTCATCATAACATTTATTTCGTGGCTGTCATAATGCTAAAATCGTGCCATCATAACACTAAAATTGTGCCACTATAATACTAAAATCGTGCTATGATAATACTAAAATCGTGCCATTATAATATTGAAGATCGTGGCATGAGAATATTGAAAATCGTATCATTATAATATTAAGTTCGTGGTAGTAAAATGCTAAACATCGTGTTATTACAATATTGAATATCGTGCCATGGTAGCACTAAAAATCGTTCTATCATAATACTAAAGTCGTGCTATTATAGTACAAAAAACGTGTCATTATAATATTAAAATGGTGCTATCATAATATCAGAATCGTGTCATTATAAAAAAAATTTGGG